CAACAAATCTTCAACGATTCTCCCTGTATTTTCTGTTATCCTCCCTTGTTCTGGTACTCTTGATAGAGTACCTACATAATTCTTAGGGTTTCTTCATTTTTGTATATTCTTTTATCTGATTTTTCCTCCAATAAGTTGGTGTCAAGTGCTTTATCTTCAGTCTCACTAATTCTGACTTCCATTGCCTCAGTTCTGCTGCTGTGGCTTTCTGTTAAGTTGTCTAATTCTGAAATTTATTGTTAATCTTCTGGATTTCTGTTTGCTGTCTCTATGGATTCCTGTAGCCTGTTAAATTTGTCATTGTGCTGTCTGTAATCTTCTTAAGTTCCTCTGTTGCTTTGTCTGTGTGTTCCTTGGCTTGTTCTGTGTTTTGAATGATCTCCTTCCTGATCTCTTGAAGAGTTCTGTATATTAATCTTTTTGTATTCTACCTCTGGCAATTCCAAAAAATTCTCTTCGTCCAGAAGATTTCTTGATTCTTTGTTTCGGGAGCTTGCTGAAGCCATCATGATCTGCCTCTTTATGTGATTTGATATTGACTCTTGTCGTCAATAAGTTATTTATTTTATGTTTACTTACCATGTCCTAGCTTCTTGTTTTGTTTTGTTTTGATATGCCCGAATAGGCTGCTCATGCGAGCTAGTTTGATTATTGGCACCTTTGAAGCTCTAACATCCTGTCACCAGGTGGTTAAATCTGTTACTAAGTATGTGAGCCCAGGAATCTGTTTATTTTTCTTGTATGGATTCAGCTCAGGTGTCCAGATAGTCAGTCACCAAGTGTGTGGTACAGGCTCTCACCTACAGTTCTAGACATGCAGGGGTGACTGAAGTAGGCACAGGTATCTAGCTGTAGTAGGGGGTCACGCGCTGAGCAAGGCAGGGGGCTGACGGCTGTCCCTGAGTGTCTGGGAGGAAAGCATGTCCTGTTCCCTAGAGTGCGTAGGTGGTTGGGTTTTGCAGCTGGACTATGGGCACCCAGTGCTGTTGGCTGTAAGTACTGTGAGGCACCACTTATTCTTGGACCCTTGTCACAGGTGGGTAGGTGGCATGAGTGGAGCCACCAGTCCTCAGGCCCCTGATGTGGTTAGGTGAGGTCCCTGCTCAATGGGCAGAGTGGTACCAGATGTCACGAACCTGCCACTCCACTTTATAGCTGATATGGTGAAGTTAGGCTTCAGGTATATACCCTGTTGTACTGTTGCTAATGAGGGCCTACGCTGTTGAAATGGGCCCACACAGGTTTATGCAGGGATGAAAGGCATTCAAAGCCTGTGGGCTCCTTATGCCTGTGCTTAGGCAGAGGAGCTGTGCCTGCCCTGAGTTCCCGGCTTAGGGGAGCTGGCAGATTATTTTTACCTGTTTGTTAATTTGTTCTGTCTCCAAGGCTGGGAGAATGGCTCAGGGCACCTGGTGGGTCCTAGGTCCAGCCCAGGGGAAGCGGCATTCGCTGAAGCCAGCCTGGGATCTAGTGCAGAGCAGGGAGGGAGCAGGTAAATTGGAGAGAGGTTCTTCCCAAACGGGGTGTTTTTTGATCTGCGTGGTAGGTTAAACGCATGTACTTATCTTTTGCCAATTGAGTGCCACTTTTCACTGGCCCTGGAGGCCTGAGTAGACTCTCTGCCGCTTGGTCTGTCCTGATGTGGAATACGTGTCCTGTATGCCACTGCCCACCTCACCATGCACACCAGCCATTTGGGCCCACAGGGCACCAGCTCCCTCCAGGTCAGGTCTGGCAACTCCTCACTGTTTCTGAACCGCCTCTCCCTCCCCCTGCACTCAGTCCTATTCCTCAACTTTGCCTTTAATGTTCAGAGCTCCTAGATTGTCATATGTAATCGATTCACTTGTTTTTTTCGGGTCTTTGTTGTAAGAGGGACCACCAGAAACATCTGACTACTCCGCCATCTTGGCCTAGCCCCCCAGTACTTAAACATTTTTAATACCTAATGTTTCCACTTTTTTTTTTCTTGTTTTGTATTTCTAAGATTTTCCCTTATCTCTTAAAAATATTTATTGTGCTTACTTATTTAAATTTTTTCCCGTTTCAGTAATTCTATTTATGATGGTATGTGTTGTTCCATATCTTATCTTTTCTGTACTCCTCTGATTAGCCTCTGAGCTCATGTTCCCTGAGTGTATGAGTACTCTGTCTGGTAGTACAAACTGGGAAAGAGCTAACAACCAGACCCTAATCTTTATCAGTTTAGGTGAGTTTCAAAAGAAGGGAGAGGTGAGTGCTGGCTAGAGTCCTGGGCACCAAAGAAGCTCTTGAGATCATTCCCATTTGCTGCCACTGCACTAGCCAACTTCTTTGATCAGAATTTCATCTTTAAAGAGCATTCGGAGCACTGGGAGGAAGTGGTTTCCCACATTGTATTCCACCAAACCTGATGTTTGGGAGGGGAGGATGTCACCCTGTAGATACTGCACACTGGTGGCTTAGGATTGCTGTGGTGAAGGGACAGAAATGACTGTCCCAGGACAAGCTGGGGAGAAACAAGAGCCGAGATCAAAGCTTTCCTTCAACCCACCCTCTTGCTGCTGCCTCTGGCTGCCCTCCACTAGAGCCTATAGCTGTCTTTCTCTCACTTACACACTGGTTTTTCATGGGCTTTCTTTGTCGTTACATTTTTTGAATTCATGTTTCCATTTTACTTCTGTTACTATTTCAGGGTTGATTTTGTGGGAGGGAGCCAGCAGCTCAGGCTACTTTGTCAACTTGGCAGGAACCAGCAGCTCTCTTAACAGAATTTTATCAGGGGTGTATCTCCCTAAAGGATTTTTCTGAATCTTTCATATATATATATATATACACACATACACATGTATCTTTATTGAGATATAATTTACATGTCATACAATTCACCCATTTAAAGTATACAATTTAATGGCTTTTAGTATAATCAAAAGTTGTGCAACAATCACCACAATCAATTTTTGAACGTTTTCACACCCCAAAAAGAAACCTTGTACCGATTAGCATTAATTCCCCTTTTACCCCCAACCCCTGTCCCCAGCCCTAGAAAACCAGTAATCTACATTCTGTGTCTATGGATGTACCTATTCTGGATATTTCATATAGATGAAATCATATAGTATGTGGTCTTTTGTGACCAGCTTCTTTCAGTTAGCATAGTGTTCTAGTGTTTTCAAGGTTCATCCAAAGTCGTAGCATGTAACAGTACCCTCATTCATTTTTATGGCTGTATAATATTCCATTGTATGGATATAAAAAAAAACAAAAACGAAAAACGAAACCCGTTGCCGTCAAGTCGATTCTGACTCATAGTGACCCTATAGGATAGAATGGAACTGCCCCATAGGGTTTCCAAGGAGCACCTGGTGGATTTGAACAGGTGACCTTTTGGTTAGCAGCTGAACTCTTAACCACTCTGCCACCATACCACATTTTATTTATCCATTCATCACTTGATGGACATTTGGATTGTTGTCACTTTTTGTTTATTATTTATAATGCCACTCTGAACATTCGTGTGCAAGGTTTTTGTGTGGATGTGTATTTTCATTTCTTTTAGGTATATACCCAGCAGTAGAATTGCTGGGTCATATGGTAACTCTGTGTTTAACCTTTTGAGAATTTGCATCTTTCTTAAGCGGTACGTTTAAATTGGAAATTTGGTGGATATTTTTCTAAACCCAGTAGTTTAAACAGGCTAGATTTTAGTCCTGGCTGTACCACTAATAAAATTTATGGTCATAGATAAGTAACATTACTGTTCTCTACGGAGATAGCATTGTTCTCGTAAAGTTGTTTTTGTTAAATTGTACATGTGAATGAATGTATGTGAGGAACCATGAAACTTAAAAATCTCCTTCTCTCATTGGATACCTACCTCTTCTTCACCAAGCTACAACTTTCCCTGTGCTCATGTTTAGGCAGTAAAGATCCCCAAGTCAAATCTTATTCAGTAAGCAAGAGGCCTTTATAAGAGAAATTGGCAAAGATAGTTTGAGTGAGAGGAATATGCCATCTTGGAGAGCCAAGTCTAGTCAGTACTAGACACTGACTTCCTTGAGGACAGGGCTGTCTCTGTCCTGTTCACTGCTCTAGCTTCATGTCCTAGTGTAGTATCAGGTTCATCGTCAGACTTGCTCAATATGTGTAGAATGAGTAAAACCTAAGTTTGTATCATAAGCCATAATGATGGATATTCTGTTTGACCTAGTAGTCCCACTTTCAGGAATCTGTCCTGAGGAAATGATTCAAACCAGGTCAAAAGATTTTGCATGAAGTGAGTTGAAGATAGTGGTGATGGAATAATTTGGAAAATGATAGTGAGAATAGCAGCACAACTGGAAGAATGTAATCAGTGCCACTGAATTGTACATGTAGAAACTTTTGAAATGGTGTAACTTTGGCTGTGTATATTTTCACCAAAAAAAAGGTCCTCCAAGGTCAAGAAGGGAGAGTGTTGACATGTCGTGGGGTTGTTAACCAGTGTCATAAAACAATATGTGTACTGTTTAATGAGAAACTATTTGTTCTGTAAACCTTCATCTAAAGTACAATAAACATAAAAATAAAAAAAGATTTTGCATGAAGATATTAACGGCTGCATAAAAATTATAGTTGGGAAAAAAATAGAAAACAACCTAAGTGCCAGCACAGTAGGCAGGTGGTTCAGAAAATTATGTAGAAATAATAGAATTATAGAAGAAATAATCTACAGGCCACCCCCCCGCCCCAGAAAAAAAACAGATCTAAAGACTACATAGACGCATAGAAGAAAACTTAAGAATGGGAAAAAATACTAAATTTTATATAGTTTCACTTAAAGTATATACAGACTTGTAAAAAAAATCATAAAAAGAGATACATTAGAATGCTAGTATTGTATAATAGTAGACTTAGGAGTATCTTCGAATTTTAATTTTTTCTGTAATGTTTATGATTTAAATTGATTTGATTTTTTAAGTCATTTGTTTCTACTCTTCAGCTTGTTTTGAACAGAAAGAATGCCTCTGTTTCCCCTTCAGGTGAAAGAACTAGAGCAGACCCTGCAGGCTTCTGAGGAGAAGTTGAAGCACAGCAGTGAAGTCGTGGCTTCTCAGGAGGCTCAGATTCAGGCGCTTGTAAGTGCTTCTCGTAGCTGCTGTGTTGTAAGGGGAGGATGTGGAGGAGAGATAACTCAGGATGATTGGTCAGTCCTCTCGTATTTTCAACAGCTCCCTTCACAAGTAGGGCTTCCTGCTACTCTGGTGTCACCCTGCAGATACTGCACACTGGTGGCTTAGGATTGCTGTGGTGAAGGGACAGAAATGACTGTCCCAGGACAAGCTGGGGAGAAACAAGAGCCGAGATCAAAGCTTTCCTTCAACCCACCCTCTTGCTGCTGCCTCTGGCTGCCCTCCACTAGAGCCTATAGCTGTCTGTCTCTAACTTACACATTGGTTTTTCATGGGCTTTCTTTGTCATTACATTTTTTGAATTCATGTTTCCATTTTACTTGTTACTGTTTCAGGGTTGATTTTGTGGGAGGGAGCCAGCAGCTCAGGCTAATTTGTCAACTTAGCAGGAACCAGCAGCTCTCTTAACAGAATTTTATCAGGGGTGTATCTCCCTAAAGGATTTTTCTGAATCTTTCATATATATATATATATACACACATACACATGTATCTTTATTGAGATATAATTTACATGTCATACAATTCACCCATTTAAAGTATACAATTTAATGGCTTTTAGTATAATCAAAAGTTGTGCAACAATCACCACAATCAATTTTTGAGCGTTTTCACACCCCAAAAAGAAACCTTGTACCCATTAGCATTAATTCCCCTTTTACCCTCAACCCCTGCCCCCAGCCCTAGAAAACCAGTAATCTACGTTCTGTGTCTATGGATTTACCTATTCTGGATATTTCATACAAATGGAATCATATAATATGTGGTCTTTTGTGACCAGCTTCTTTCAGTTAGCATAGTGTTCTAGTGTTTTCAAGGTTCATCCAATGTCGTAGCATGTAACAGTACCCTCATTCATTTTTATGGCTGAATAATATTCCATTGTATGGATATAAACCAAAAAAAAAAAAAAAAAACCTGTTGCTGTTAAGTCGATTCTGACTCGTAGTGACCCTATAGGATAGAGTAGAACTGCCCCGTAGGGTTTCCAAGGAGCTTGATGCTTTTTCCCTTTATACCGTTGTAGATGTCCCACACTCACTCCCAGCTTCTGAAATGGTATCTGGACCTGACCTTAGAATCAGTTGTTGTGCTGCATGGGAGCAGGTGGGAAGCAGCAGGCAGAGGAACTCCTGCCCTGCTGGAAGGTCCGAGTTACCCAGAGAGGTGGAGTAGCTGGCTAACTCCCACCTGACACGTGGCCTTAGGTCCCAGTCCAGTTCTGGCGCTGTTAGAGGTGGTAGATCCATGAGGAGTCAAACCCCTGCTTGCAACCAAGGGCATGGGGAATAGTCCAGGCTCTGGGGAGAGGATGTCAAGGGCTTGGCCAGTCATCACAGCCCAGGTGGGGATGTTAAGTTAGAAACTGGAGAAATAAAAACAGCTAACATGTATTGCATGGTTGCCATGTCCCAGGCACTGTGCTAAGTGCTTTGCACATGTTTTCATTTAATCTTTGCAGCTGATGTAAGAGGTGTGTACTATTATCCTCATTCTTTAGAAGAAGTAGGTTCAGAAGAATTGGGTCCCTAGCCTGTGGTCTCAAAGCCAGTGAATGTCTAAACCCACATCTTTCTGTATCAAAGCCCTTGTTCTTAACCACTGTTTTATACGCCTCTCCAAGGAGAAGCTTCACCCATAGAGGGCAACACTGAATGGAGTGAGGGAGGGCTATGTCTTAGGACAGGATGGTACCCAGGACTATCCCTAGATACCCTGAGGATGGAGGGCATGACACCAAGAGTAATCACAGACTCCACCTCCTGGCCAGGCCAGGTTCCAGAGCAACAGGCAGAGCCTGCAGGTAGGGAGAAAGGTTGCTTCAGTTGGACATTTATCCATCTTGGGGTCACCTAGGACCAGAAGATGGCCCCCCTCTGAAAACCATTGTCTGCATGAATAATTGTCCCCTGGTATCCCTGCAGTCCAGTGCAAACGAGGAAAGCAGATGCGCACAGCAGCAGGCCATCACTGTGCAGCAGCAGTGCAAGGAGCGCGTCCACGCAGTGGAGGCCCAGATTGCTGCCCTGGAGAAAGCGCAGGCAGCTGACAAGACAGCCACAAAGCACAAGATGGTGAGTAAGGTACAAGGATGAGGCTGAGCACAGAAGCACCTGGTTCAGTCAGAGCTAGGTGTGTGTCTTAGTTATCTAGTGCTGCTACAACAGAAGTATCACAAATGGATGGTTTCAGCAGACAGAAATTTATTCTCTCACAGTTTAGGAGGCTAGAAATTCAAATTCAGGGTGCCAGCTCAAGGGGAAGGCTTTCTCTCTTTGTCAGCTCTGGGGGAAGATCCTTGTCATAAATATTCCCCTGGTCTAGAAGTTGTACAGCATAGGGACCCTGGGTCCAAAGGATGCACACTCCTGGTTCTTCTTGCTTGTTGGTATGAGGTCCCCCAGTCTCTCTGCTCGCTTCTCTCTTTTATATCTCAAAAGAGATTGACTCAAGATATACTCTAATCTTGTAGATTGAGTCCTACCTTATTAACATAACTGCCTCTAATCCTACCTCATTAACATCACAGAGGTATGATTTACAACACATAGGAAAGTCACATCAGATGACAAAATGGTGGACAGTCACACAATACTGGGAATCATGGCCTAGCTAAGTTGACACACATTTTTGGGGGACACAGTCTATAACAGTCTGCCATGTAGTTTGACAGGAAAAGCAGCTCCTTCTCTGAACTAGGGAATGACTTTATAGAGCAGTTTTTATCTTTCCAACAAGACACCTACTCATGAGACCAAATATAAAAAAAGACTCCTGATATAACAGATGGGTTTTCTTTTTCCTTGGGCCCTACAGGGACTTCCTGGTGATTTCTGACCATCCCACTCAGCTTCTTCCTGTCTAAAATTTGTTTTTCCTCCCTAATGGCCTCTCCTTTCCCATGGTCCCCTCACACTCTTCCACAGTCCTGAGAATTATGTGCCTCTTTCTCCTGATGAGTTTTTCAGGTGGTTCTGTCTTTCTCACCCCCACTCCATTCTCATCTCCTACCCCTGCCATGACAAAAAAATGAAAGGTGTTTCAAAAGTAGAATGTCAAAGAGATAGGACTGTGCCCAGGGGATATGTGGTATTTAAGACCTTTTATTTATATATGTGTATATTCTTCTGAATTTGCAGAGAGAGCTGGAGCAAGAAAATACAGCCCTTAAAGAAAGTAGGAATGAATGTGAACGTTCCTTACAACATCACCAGCTTGAACTAAAGAAGCTAAAGGTATTTGTCTAATTGAAGTAGTTTCACAAAAGTGTTCATATCTTTCATTCACCACGTGTATTTGGAGTGGCCCTAGCATTTGTTCAATAGTTCTCCTAGGCATTTGCTAGAAATTGTCACATGATTAATCCTCTCAGTGGCTCAGAACAGTAGTAAGAATTCTGTCCATTTTGTAATTAATGTCATTGAGATTCTGAGTATATATAATTTGTCCAGGTTCACATAGCTAGTTAGAAGTGAAACTGGTCTGTCTGACTTCCAAGTCCAAGCTCTCTCCATTCCACAAGAGAGGCCCAACCCTTCCTCTCTGTCATCAACAACAGCTGCCTTAAAGTGATGCTGTCAGAGTACCACTCTTGGTGATTTTTCCAAGACTAGTAAAGCAAGGCCTTAGAAGGTCATGAGAACCTTTGTTTGTTTGTTTGTTTGTATCAGGGACCAGGTACAGAAATGAAGTAACAACCTGTTACTTAATTTGTTACCCTTACTCTTCTGAGAACTTGGAGTTTTAATCAAGTGCTGCCTGGTTCTTCCCCTGGACATAATGGGATGCAGAGGAGAGAGAGATTCTGCCACTTTCCTACAGACCTCCAGTCTTCCCTGACCCCTTTCATAGCAGCCCTTGGATGGTGGGTCATTGCTGTACTTGTCCAGCTTGGGACTGTTAGATAATGACACGAAGATCTTGTGGGCTCTTTGCTGGAGATCTTCTCTGAGATCACACCTAGAACATCCATAGCTGAGTACCTGTACCTAGTAGGCTTTCAGTTATATTATCTGGTAAGTTACTTAGGTATTAATGCAGTCGTGGCTGCATTGTAGGAAGCATGTACTTTGGAGTCAGATAGTTTTTCATTTATTCCTTCAACAATTTGAGTACCTGTAAGTACCAGGCACTGCTGTAGGTTCTAGGTATATGTCAGTGAACGAAACAAAGTTTCTACCCTGTGGAGTTTATAATTAAGAGACAGTAAACAAGTGACAAAATGGTGATAAACGCTATGAAGAAAATAATGCAGGGTAAAAGAGAGTGGGGAGGGGAGAAGAGGGCTCTTCTAAATACAGAGCTTAGGGAAGGCCTTGGTGACATTTGAGCAAAAGATATGAATAATTAGAAGGAGCCAGCAATGTGAATATTTGGGGAAGGATATGCTAGACAAAAGAAACAACAAATATAAAGGCTCTGAGGCAGAAAAGAACTTGGTTTTTTCAAAGAACAGCACAAAGCCCAGTGTAATTGAAGCTTAGTGAACTGGGAGAAGATGATAAAGAGGAAGCAAGACGTGATGTGGTAAGTTTTAAAGATTGCTCTGCCTCCATGTGGAGAATGTTCTATAAGGGAGGTAAGGACAGATGCAGAAAGACCTTTTAGGAGATTTTAGTAATCTAGGCTACAAGTGACTGTCTAGCATGTTAGTGGGAAGCAGTATTCAGATTGAGGGTATATTGTAGATATGAAGCCTTTAGGACTTGCGATTGATTAAAATGAAAGGAATGAGTGAAAAAGGAATTGGAGATGACTCCTAGGTTTGGTTTATGTAACTCGAGGTTTCTCAGCCTCAGCACTATTAACATTTGGGGCCAGATAATTCTTTGTTGGCAGGGTAGCGTGTTTTGCTGTGCACTGTAGGATGTTTAGCTGCATCTTGGCTTCTACCCACTAGACATCAGTAACAACCCCACTTGCAACAACCAAAAATGTCTTCAGACTGGCCAAATAACCCTTAGGGGGGCAAAATTGCCCCCAGCTGAGAACCACTGGGCTAACTGAATGAATAGTGAGATGAAGAGGTTTGAGGTGATATATCAAGAGTAATTCTAAAATTAAAACCACAATGAGATACCACTTCACCCCCAGTAGGATGGCTATGATCAAAAAAGAAAGAAAACAACAGGTGTTGGTGAGGATGTGAAGAAATCAGATGTGGAGTTGATGGTGCAGAGAGGAGGGCAGAGTACTTAAGCAGATGAGAGTGGAGGGGCTAGCCTTACATGCAGCAGCTGGCTGGGCCATGTGTCTGCTCTGTGACCTTGGGCAAGTCACTGCTCCTCTCTGAGGTACAGTATGCTCATCTATAAAAGGGAGGACTGTAGTCTCTACCTCAGAGGGTGGTTATGAGGACCACATGGTTCACATTTGTACAGTGAGCAAGCACGTGGAAGGAATTTATCCAGGCTTTTCAAAGTGCTTACTTTTGACTCTGATTTTCTTGTTTTCTTTTACCTCCTTTGGGTTTAATTTGCTGCTTTTTTTCTAGCTTCTTAAGATGGATATTTAGATCATTGATTTTACACCTTCATTCCCAATATAGGCATTTAAAGCTATAAAATTCCCTCTAAGCATTGCTTAAATTGTAGTATGTTGTATTTTCATTATCATTCAGTTCAAAATATTTTTATAATTTTCTTATGATTTCTTCTTTGACTGATAGTGTGTCACTCATGGTCTAGTCAGGAGATAGAAACCACACCGGTTATTTGAACAAGGTGAATATATAGAATTTTTAACTAATTAATGTTTTTAACCAGGTGCTAAAATGGTAAAAAGATATCACAGAGGTAAAAACTGCAGAAAGCAGTTTCCAGCTCTAGGACTAAGGAAACAAAGTGAAAAGGTTGGAATTATTAAACTTAGAAATTAAGAGGAGGGGCGCAGGGAGCTGATACTCAGACCTCTGAGGAGGAGACATTCCACACTTGGTGCTGGTGTGTGTTCTGCGGGAGGGAGCAATAAATGGGTTCTGCTGTACGTGTTGGAGAAACTGTAAAGTGGATACAGCTGCTGCTTCAGGAAGAAATTGCTGCTGCCAGGGCAAGAAAGCATTGCTGGAATAATGCTCACTGAAACAGGAAGCAGACAGAAGGAGCAAGTCTATTTCTCCTTCCTCTTGCCTTTGAAAGGAGCCCTGGTGGCGCAGTGCTTAAGTGCTTGGCTGTTAACCAAAAGGTCGTTGGTTCGAACTCACCAGCTGCTCCACAGGAGAAAGTTGTGGCAGTCAGGGATAAAGTTGTGGCAGTAGTTTCCATAAAGATTACAGCCTTGGAAACCCTACGGGGCAGTTCTAATCTGTCCTATAGGGTCCTGTGAGTCAGAAATCGACTTGGTGGCTACAGGTTTGGTTTCGTTTGGTTTCTTGCCTTGCAGTCTCCCTGGAGTACCCCCTCGTGGCAGAGATTACTATAGAGCCAGCCAGATGAGCAGAAAGCCGAATGTAAAAGGATGGGTGTGGGACTGAGAGGCAGTAACTTTTAAAACCAGCACACACAAGCTGTTTAGAAATGTGGTTTATTTTTAAACGGGATTTTCTGGATATCTTGGATTTCTAGTTTAATACAATTTTGGTCAGATAATAACTCTGAAGGATATGGCCAACTTATGTTCTATCTTGGTGAATATTTCAGTGCACTTGAAAAGAATATATATATTCTGCTGCTGTTAAAGTAGAAATACTCCAACTAACAGCAGCAGAGTAAAAATTGACCTAAATGTTACTTAGGTCAAGTAGTTGATAGTATTGTTCAAATCTTGTATATATTTTCTGATTTTTTTGTCTACTTGGTCCATCAATTACTGAGATGATTGTGCTAAATCTTAAACTACGACAGTGGATTTGTCTGTTCCTCCCTTTATTTCTGTCCATCTTTGCTTCCTGTATTATGAAAAAGCACTGTCATTAGATGCACGCATACTTAGAATGGCTATTATCCATGTTTTTCAAAGTGGCTATTCTCTGAGCCCCTCTCAGAGCTGCTGCCCATAGGTAGCCTGGTGGTTCCTGTATAGTGCGGGCTGTGGGTTTCTGCTGCAGCAAATCTGAGCTTTGCCAGTAGACGGAACTCCACATCCCTGGCTTTTTTGTGACTCTGTGGCTAGCAAAGACGTTAGAGCCACACAGACTTCAGCTCCATGTCCCAGCCTTGCCCCAACAAGCTGGTTATCTGTAGGGAATCGCTTTTCTTTTCTCTAAACTGAAGATGATAATCCTTGACCTCCGAGTATTACTCTGAGGGTCAAGCACAACCACAGATGAAAAGTACCAGGCGCAGTTCCCTAGCATGAAGGTGATTTGAGTCTCTGCTTCCTGTCCTGGCCTGACTTCCTGCCTTCTGACTCATGGTCTCCTGTCTTAGATGTCCAGCAGTCAAAAGTATCTTTTCTGAACTTCCTCAGAAAAGGCTTCCAAGAAGGCATGGCATTCCTGTCATCCTCCCCACCTGGGCATGTAGGGTCAGGGTGTCGTAGTTCATCTGAGCCCGGGACCTCTTGCTCCTTCTCTTGTATGAATAGAACCACTCCCTAAACCTGGGTTTGGGAGTAGAAGGTAGTTGGGAGAACCTTGATGATGAGGAGCATTGTCTAGAGTATTCCAAGGTCCTGTCCTCAGCCTCTTGAGTTCAGACACCAAATGTTCCTTGTCCACTACAGGTGGACTCAAATAAATAAAGTCAATTTTTTTTAATAGCATAACTTACATATTTCAAATGGATAAAAAATTAGTATCGTTTACAGTATCTTAAAATAAATTGCCTTTGAATGGGAGCTTCCTTTCCAGTACTTTGAGGTCTATAAGACATATCTAGAAAATGTACTACTGTGGAAAATGAAGACTACTTAAATCGAATGGGGGGAAGGGATGGGCCTGCGGTTTTTCTTTTTGATTAATTGTTGTAACACTGTACTTTAGGTGGTTGGGGAGTTTCGTATTTTCTTAAGACATCATTAGTTGCTGAAACTCTTGCAGGACTTTGATGCTGTATGAATTCTGCCATTTTGCTAGCACTGATATGCCGCTTGGGTCCACCACTCTATTAGAACTGTTAACTCCATTCATATTAATTTTTGTTACAAATCTTACAAAGCGGGGTGCTTCTCAGTATTTAGGTCCACATTCTATTTTAAGGCTGTATAGCTGGTTTTCATAACTTGTTCTTGGAGGCCCAATTATTATCCCTGTCCATCTTGTAAGTGTCATGTCTTCATCATCTTCCAGACCTCAGCTAACTGTGCCATCTCCTATTCCTTTCTGGCCCTCTTCGAGGTCTTCCAACAGTCGGAAATTGCAAGGCACTTTTACTCCTCCAAATAAGAAGAAGCAAAGCTGACCTGTAGATCTTCAAGAGCCAAAGCTGCTGTCTAAAGTCAATTCTTGACAATTCCAGGGTAGGAGCCAAGATGCTGCTGGTAATGAGCTGATGTCTCTCTCCATTAACCCAGCTTGTACTGGATCAGTGGACTGTACTAGAGCCAGGGGGCCCCATCAGATCTGTTCTGTTTCTGCATCAGTCTGTTTCTTGCCCTGTCAGTCTCCCAACTCTTATCCTTGCTTTTCTCTGTGACGTTCTCATTCCCTTCTGCTTGACACTGCCTCCTCCAGATTGGGTGGACGTTGCCACAGCAGCTCCAAGCTTGTAACATCCCAGCTTAGTGACCCAAGAGGAAAGAGGCTTCTCCCCACTCAGCTTCACTATATGAAAAAGGATTCTGATGTAAAGGAGGATTCTGACTGGTCTATCTTGGTAACCAAAGCCACGTTTTGGACAAATTGCTTTGGCCAAGAGGATGAGGTACTATGATTAAACCCGTTGCCATTGAGTCGATTCCGACTCATAGCAACTATAGGACAGAGTAGAACTACCCGATAGGGTTTCCAGGGAGTGGCTGGTGAATTCAGACTGCCAGCCTTTTGGTTAGCAGCCAGATGCTTAACCAGAGCACCACCAGGGCTCCATACTGTGATTAGGCAGGCCTAAATCATGTGCTTATTCCCATAGCCATAGTTGGGGTATCACGATTGGCAGCCCTACCAGAACCGTGTGGAATTGAGGGGTGAGAACGGGGATCAGGAATGATGACTCTTAACCAAAAAAAGGAGAGGAGACTCTGGGTAGACGTCCACCTCATATTTTCTTCAGGACATCTCCCTGACCAGTATCCAGGCACCTAAAAAATCATATTGTTCTTCTGGGGGTTGATTGGCAAGCATGGGCAGCAGTATCAGAGAAGAGGTCTGGTGTGTAGGTTGTTTTGGGGGGGATATTCCCCATGCTCTGGAGAAGGCTGGGGGGCAGCCCTGCTCATGGTAGAAAGTATTCTGGGTGGTAGAACCTAGTATCCAAAGGCTCTGGCTGTAGCTCAGACAGATACTGGCTTTGAATTTGTCGATGCCACTTACTAGCTCTAGGACCTTGGGCAAACTGCTTAATCTCTCAGAGCCTCAGTTTTCTCTCAGAGCCTCAGTTTTCTCTCCCGTAAAGTGGGATACTTTTGATGAGTCTGTGACATTTTGCCCTATTAAGCATTCAGTAATTGCTTATTATTGCTTCTGTAACTGGATTGCTTCTGTCCACCAGCCCATTCATGTTGGCTTGAGAGTCTGTCTTCTTCTGTGTTGATTCAGTAGACCAGCTCTTCAAGTTCTGGGCCCCCACTCTGCTAGCCTTGGCCTGAGCACTGGCTGGTGTGCTTGCTCATGGGACAAACGACCCTCAGTGGTGTGCCCATTTCCAGAGAGCTCAGTGGGTTGTCCACCAGGACAGTTATCAGAAGGATACAGAAGGCATTGCAGTGAGAGGGCAGCCTGGGAACTTCAAGAAGCAGGAAGAATGTTTGTTCGACCCTGGAAGGCAGTACTCCCTCCGCTAGGCTTCATGTGAAAGTGTGCAGCTAAGAAAATGTGAACTGAGTTTTTGGGCTCAATCTCCTACCTGTTTTCTGGATTGCAGGAAGAATGGAACCAAAGAGAAATTGTGAGCGTGGCGATGGCTCAAGCCCTGGAGGAGGTGCGGAAACAAAGGGAAGAGTTGCAGCAACAGGTAGGTCCAAGGCAGGACTAGCCTACCTCCCTGCTTGGGGGGTAGCAGAGAGGTCTCACCTGTCCACGTTAGGGGGTGGACACAGTTGTAGGGAATGCTGTCAGCTATGTGATTCCCCTGTGGAGCCCAGGAAGGTGGGAGAAATGTTATACAAAACCCTCACCCCAGGGGATGCCCTTTTCTGATTGGATGATCAGTTATTGTTAGATATAAACATCACCTGGAAAAAAGTCCATACCCAGCTACCTTCTGGGCTTTAATTGTGTGAGGTGCTCCATCACTGCCCACAGGCCCAGAGGCCACAGTAAAGCTGCCCAGACACTTTGGATTAAGCTGTTAGCAGGAAGTGTGGGAGCTCACTTTGGAGACAGATTCAGCGTCAGGCCCCAGATCTAGTTATTGTCTCTGAGGCCTGTTTTAAGTCTTCAGAGTCACCTCTGAGAAGGACTCTAGGATAATCACATCTTTCAGGATATTATAATGAGGTAATATATGTCAAATGCCCGCCAGTGCTGGGCATGACACAGACACTCAGGAAATGGAAGTATGGTTATGACAGCTTGTTGGAAGGCTGTGCAGAACGGCTGCATCTGTGGGTGGCCCACTGCAGGGCAGAGAAGCAGTGAGAGGCAAATGCCCCTGTGCGGGGCCCCCAGTCAAGGAGAATTGATTTATGCATGTTTATAGGAGCAGGGGTTAGCTTGGGGTATGTTCTAGGCTATAGGCTTAAAGGAGGGATTAATAGGTAGTGGAAAAACTGGAGATTCCTTTGGGGGATGGGGTTACTGCTGCTAACCTCCCCTCATGTTGGTTTTTCTCTCCCCAAGGCTGCTAACCTGACAGCAGTAATAGATGAGAAGGAGCAGGGTCTACAGGAAAAAACTGAAATGGTTTTCCAGAAAGAGCAGGAGATTCTCCAGCTGAAGAAAGGTGAGGAGCCAAGCATGCTCGCCTTTTCCTGCCCTGAGACCTGGCCCAGTCATGGGCCATGTGGGGTCGGCTTACTGTGCACCCCTGCCCTCTGCCTGGCCTAGGTCATGAGTGTGCCCTGCTGCAGATGCACCAGCTGCAGAGTGAGCTGGAGGCCCTGAGGAGTCTGAGGGCAGAGGAGCCCGGGGCAGCTGCTGCACCGGAGGACCTGCAGAGACTGCCTGACCAGGAGCAGGAGCCGGTGAGCGAGCCTCACGTAATCCCATCTGTGCTGCTGGGCCCTGTGGCAGGTCGGCAATGTGTGATGCAGCTATAACTTGGGAAGAGCTCTGGTGGGCAGGTCACTTGGGCAAGTCACTTTCCCCTCAGCTTCTTTTCTTTAAGGTGAGGGTGCTCATCTGGTAGGAGCTTATAAGGGTTCATGAGCCTACAGTATATGGCACCACCTGTTAATGTTCAGATGTAAAACTCTTTCCTTCCTAGCAAAGACATGTTGCATGGACAGCTGATTGTTCCTCTGGAAGGCACTGAACAGGATCTTCTCTGCATTTTAAATTTGGTTTCTGGCTAACTTTCCATTGGAGCACGTAGTCCACATGTTTGGAAGAGTCTGGCCCCCCTTCTCCATGTGCCTGTGGCTTAGCTTGAGCATTATCTGTCATGGCTCCTCAACTTGCTGCCACCACCCTATAGGTCACCTTGAAGGCCATGAAGGCCCCCGTGTTCCAGCTTTCAGCTGCGGAGGGAACACCAAATGGTGAGGTCGGGACCATGGATCTAGGGCAGCTACAGAAGGAAAAACAGGACTTGGAGCAGCAGCTGATAGAGAAAAACAAGGTGAGGAGATTCTTTGCCTGGCTGTTTGTATCTCCACCCTTCCCCTGCCCTTGTGCGTAAACTAATTCAGTCCCTTCTTAGAGGGCTTGGCTGTTGCCCTGGGCACCTCTTGAGGAAGACATTACCCCTTTCATCAAAAAGACTTCTTCCTGATTTTACTCCTGTTTACCTCCTGCGTGGTCTTCCTTTCACGCTCCCTGTCTCTGCCGCTCCCCAAGCCCAGTTGGGATGGTGTCCAGAGTCAGAGAGCCTGAGCAGCTGTGAGCAGGATAATATGAAGGTGTTTGTTAACTGTCCTGTACAAGTTCTGGTAGTTGGTAGAGGTTTAATAAACGTCATGATTCTGCCCACCCTGCCAGGCCTCTGCACATAAATGCCGGGTCTCATGTAATTCTGATTTTTAAAGTAAAGTTTAGTGTGCTGGCTAGTTATGGTTTTGGCCTGAAATTCTGCCCCCAAATTGTGTGTGTATATAATTCTTTCAGATCTTTAGAAAAGGAAAAAAGTTCATATTCATCCTTTCTCACCCTCTTACTCTCACTCTCTTACTCTCACTTACCCTCTTATTATGAAATACATATATGGAAAAGTGCACAAAACAATGTATGGCTCAGTGAACGATCAAAAGGCAAACACATGTATAACCACCCCCTTGGACAGGAATCAGAATGTCGGCAGCATCCCAGCAGCCACCTCATGTCTTCATAGTCCCTGTCAGTAACCCCTGTCCTAATGTTTAAGGAAATGACCCCCTGAATTTTCTCTCTAGTTTTACCACTTCAGCTTGCATCTCTCAACACTGAAGTTTAAGTTTTGCCTGTTTTTTAATTTCATATAAACGCTCAACCAGGACCGACCATCACTTCTTTCTCTGTCCTCACTGACCTTACATTTTTACTCCTTTCTTTACTAGCTGATTCCACAGCCCATCGTCAAAATCACTGCCTTATTGACACTCAGTTCTGTGACCTCTCCACCTTCCCTCATCCTGTACTGGCAAAGCCCCAGCTCTTGCCTCCTTTGCACCTGCAGCCATGGAGTCAAATGTTGCTGCAGAATAAACAGTCACACTGGCTGGTCTCCTTTGAGATTCAGAACTACTGTCCTCCAGGTAGCCCCAGTGCCACCCAGCAATCCTGCCACATTTAGGCCTTTACACTCCACTCCTCTTGATCATAACTTCATTTCTACCTTCTCTTCTCTCCTCAACCCCCAATCTCTCCTTTTCTATTCCCACTCTTCTGCTGATAACCCTGCATTCTAGTTCACTGAGGAAATAGAAACAGAAGCATTTCGACATACTCCAGCACCGTTGGGCCTGGAGACCCTGCCTGCCTCCCTGTTACTGTGGTGAACTGTCTGCACAGCCCTTCTCCCATGCATTACATCCCTTGCCACTCCTCCTCTCTGGCCTACATCATCATTTTTCTCTCTCTCCTGGGTCATTGCATCCACTTACAAGTGTGCTTAATGTAAATCATCTTATAAAAGCACTCTGGACCCCAGTCCCTCTCTAGCTACTGCCATATTTCTCAGCTTTCCTCCATAGCAAAACTTTCTGTATTTGCTGTCTCTGTTACCACTTCTCTTATTCTCTCTCAAATCCAGTCCAGTCAGGCTTTATGCCTACCACTGCACAACAAAAAACTCTCATCAAGCTCATTAGTGACATCCACACTGCTAAATCCAAAGATAAATTCTTACATTTCCTTCTAATCAGACCTATCACTAGCATTAGACAGACAGCGTCTCTCCATCCTTGCTTTCGTCTTGCCTGCTCTTCTCCATCTCCTCTGATGGTTCAGTCTCCTCTCCCTATCTACAAACACTAGTGGTCCAGAGCTTGGACCTCTTCTGTCAGTCACATGCACTGCCTTGGTGATCTTACCCAGAACCTTCTGCTGCTGTCTCCCGCATGCATGTCTCCGTTCCCGGAACTCTACATCCTAATGTCTACATCTGAACGTCTAAAAGGCATCTCAAACGTAAAACATCCAAAATCAAACATCAGATTCACCATGCTTCCCTGCTACTCCTGCTATCTTTCCCATCTCAGTAAATGACAAAAACCTTGGAGTCATCCTCAACCCCCTTCTTTCTTTGACAACCAACATCCAAACCATCAGCAAATCCCTTTGCCTCTACCCTCAAACTGTACACAGAATCAGCTGCTTCTCTTCACCACCAGTGCTACTCCGTAGCCCAGGTGACCATCATCTCTTCTCTGGAGTATGGTACAGTGTTAGCCTTCTGACTGGTATCCCCATCACTCCTCTGCTCCAGCGTCTGAGGACTTCCTAGCTCAATAAAAGCCAGAGTCCTTAGTGGCCTGGAAAGCCCTGCATGATCAGGCCTCCTTATCACCCGTTTCACTTCATCCCCTTCTACCATCCCCATCACTTCCTCTCAGCCACACTGGCCTTGTCTTTCTGTGAATATATCAAGCATCTTCCCACCTCTGGGTCTTTGCACTTGTGGAGCCTTCTGTCTGGAAGGTTCTCTCCCATTACCCCTGCCAATACCTACCCTCACCACCAGAACTTCCTACCTCTCTTACTTTGATGTCTTTTTTTCTTCATAGCTCTTAATACCTTCTGATATGCTATGTTTATTGACTTTTTTCCCTCATGAGGGCAGATATATTGTGTTTTTGTTTATTGCTGTTTTCCCAGTCTCTAGGAGAATGTCTGGCACATAGTAGGGACTCGGTCAATATTTGTTGTATGAATTAATGAATGAGCAAAAAACCCAACTAAATACAAATTGAAACAACTAGGTACCATTTTATAAAAGTGGGTGTGTTGGAGGTAGTTTGAATTTTATATGTGAATGTTTAACAGGAGCTATAAAAAGTGTCCTGGTCCTCTGACCCAGCAATCTCATTCCTCAAGAGACAGTGAAGACACCTCTTGAGGAAACAAAGCTTATCAGAGTGTTGTTTAAAAACTGGAAGCTCACATTACAATAAAATGTGGTGCATCCTGTGTATAGGAAGGCATATGTGAGTAAATGCACGTGCATGTGTAGTATCTGTAGGCATATGTATATACACATTTGTCTGTGCTGCATATATATCCACATATATAGCAAATCACATAGGGGGCACAGTTACAGAGGCTTCCTAGACATATCCAGACAACTCCCGGGATTGGTTTACTGGGTCCAAAGCTTGGGACCATAGTCTTGGGGGACATCTTAGTCAGTTGGCACAACATAGTTCACAAAGATAATGTTCTGCATCATACTGTGGTGAGTAGTGTCTGGGGTCTTAAAAGCTTTCGAGCGGCCATCTAAGATACAGCTATTGGTTTCTACTCATATGGAGCAAAAGAGAATGAAGGAAATCAAACGCTGAAAGAAGAAACTAGTCCACAGGACTAATAGCCCACGCGAACCACAACCTCTTCAAACCTGAGACCAGAAGAACTAGATTGTGCCCAGCTACCAATATAGACCATTCTGACCAGGGACACAATAGAGGTCCCAGATAGAATGGGATAAAAATATAGAACAAAAAAATTCATAAAAACGGCCAGACCTCCTGCACTGATAGAGACTAGAGGAACCCCTAACTAAGACTATCACCTTAGGATACCCTTTGAACTTGGAATTGAAGCTATTTCTGTAGGTCACCTTTCAGCCTAATAATAGATTGGCTTATAAAATAAACAGTATCACCCACGAGTAATGTGCTCCCTTAAACAATTAACTGTCTGAGACCAATAGGTCAACAGTTACCCCAAAGCAAAGAAGAGACAGCAAAGAGGGGAAGGGAAGCTAGATCAATGGAAACAGAACAAATGGAAATAATGAGCATGCTGACACATTATAAAAGTTGTAACCAATGGCACAGAACAATCTGTATAAAAATCGTTAAAGGGGAACCTAATTTGCTGTGTAAACTTTCACTTAAAACACAATAAAATACTATTAAAAACAAAAATGTAGTGCATCCCCCTAGAGTTACTGTTATTAAAAGTTATAGTTAGGAAAACTGTAGAAAGCTGTAAAAACTGATAAATGAAAAACTATTCAAAATTCTACCTACTCAGTGTAAGAATATGAACACAGACTAAAAAACACACAGGAAAAAAATTTTTTTTGATATGTTACAGTTGTGAGACTTTGGAGAAAATTACAATTTTTTTCCTGTATTGCTGTGATTATACAGTAATTTTTCTAATTGGGAGAATCGAGTTCAGTATTTCTAATGACTAATACAGTGTGTAATAAATTACACTTAAGGCTCATAATACTAAGAAACTCATTAATTAAAAATAAATAAAAGATATAAAACCCCATATTGGTGGTGTTATGCAGAAAAACCATGAATTTTTTACACTGTTCAAAGTAAGCATTGTAAATTATGGTATTTCACAAGAGCAGTGGTGATGATGAGAACCATAAATTTTGACCTGAGCTGTCTATTTTAGGATCAGAGCACACATGTAATTCTGAAGGACAAAATATATGATACAGAGATGCCTATCGCTATACTGTTTTATGGTGGCAAGAACTGGACACAGTCCTGATGACTGAGCCCATGGGTTGAGCTACATTGGGGCATTCATAGATTAGGGTTTGTGATGACCTATGTTGCTTTGTGGGGCCTGAAGACCTGAAGCGTACAAAACGCAGGATCATGGACAACACAGCCACAGTAGTGGGCACGTGGGTATGAAAACTGCCCATAAGCCTCTCAGAAGGACAAAGGACAAGGGCAGACTTCTAACAGGTGTACGGGGGACACAAGGGGTGTGTTTCTGTTCTGTTTTCCTTTACACCTTAAAGTTGGTGAAATGTGCATTTAACAAATGGCTTTTTGCGGGGGTTTATCTCAGATCATAAAGCAGATGCAGCAGAGGATGCTGGAACTCAAAAAGACTCTGCAGAAGGAACTGGTGAGTGCCGGCGCAGTGGCCAGCCTAGGCTGTTGAGCCTCTCCTCTCTCCCACTGCCTATGCCCCCGTGGCTCTCTGGTCCTCCTGGTCTCCCTCCCTGCCTGATGGTGCCCCTCTCCCCCAGTTGATTGCAAGGGGTCTCTGAGAAGTCAGATGATGGCTGTGACCTTGAGCAGGTGCCCTCTTTCTCTGATCCTACGTCCTCATCTGAAAATAGAGACGATCCCTACCTCACGGGGTTGTTCTGAGAATTGTACAGGACCTGTAGAGTGCCTGGCCCACACCCAGGATGAAAGCAGCATGTCTGCTTCTGGCTGAGCTGTGCATTGTCCTAGGGAGATGTGTCCTTGACATGGATAAAGGAAATGTAAAATGACCTCTCTCCCTCCTCTCAGCTAGCAACCCCACCTGGAGGAGCTGAGCCTGCCTCAGACTTTCGTGCTTCCTTCCCAAGTGGGACCCTTTTTGCTCTATGATATGCCAGATGTGGCACAAGAACAGCAGGTGATCACAGCTTGGGCCAGGTGAACCTTCCATGGCGTGATGGTTAAACCTATCTTGAAGGGTTCAGTGTAGCATCTTTCCATTGATTTTTCAGAAAATCAGACCTGATGAGCTTTTTGAGGTCCGCGAGAAGCCTGGCCCTGAGATGTCAAACCTGGCCCCATCTGTCACAAATAACGCTGACCTGACTGATGCTCGCGAGATCAACTTTGAGTACCTGAAACACGTTGTTCTAAAATTCATGTCCTGTCGAGAATCCGAGGTAAAGGGCTTCCAAGCTGGCTTTGGGTATTGAGTTCCAGCCCAGGGTCTGGCGTATTTATTCTAGCCCTGCGTCTGCCCACATGGCTTCCCACCCAGTCCACTTCTCTCTTCCTCTCCTACATTCCAGTTTGACCACCAGTGTGGACCATTAGTCATTTCTTCAGCTGGCATTGACCTGCTGACTAAGCATCCAGCAGCAGGGAGACCGTGTGGGAAACTGGTGCCTGGTGGGAGATGTAGGCTCCACTTCTAAATCCTGACTTGGATGCCAACGCCAGGGTCCGTGGAACTGATTCTGCCCAGCGTTCCTGCATCCTGCCAAAGAGCAGGAGAGCTGCTGAGGATGTTCTGTTGGTCCTGCCAGTCCCCAGAGTAAAGATGGAGGGGGAGAAAGAGATCTCAGAATGCCTGACTTCACCCACCACCTGGTCCTTGCTAACCAAGTCAGGAGCATACACCAGGAGCAGAAACAAAGGAAATGCTGCCCTTTAGCCCTCTAATTTCTTGTCCCCTCTCTCCCAGCCACCAAAGCCCATGGCAGCAAAACTTATTTTGTTTCAGGCTTTTCATCTTATAAAAGCTGTGTCAGTGTTGCTAAACTTTTCGCAAGAAGAAGAGAACATGCTCAAAGAAACTCTGGAGTATAAGGTAGGGTTCCCTGGTCTGCTGTTCCAGTCTCCAAATAGTATCCTTAGTAGTCCCAGCCCTGGCAAAGGAGACTGGCCCCTGGAGGCAGGTCAGCAGCCAGAGCTGCGTTGTCAGCTCAGAAGTTGCTTTTGGTAATGAATTTGATTCAGCCAATATTTAGGACATCACCAACCAGCAAGCCTTGTTATCTTCCAAAGCATTTTCATTGATACCACTTCATCAACAGCCCAAGTCTGGCTCAAGGCCCAGACTTTAAAAAAAAAACAGAAAAGGAAAAATTGTTCAAAACTAGCTGCATAAAACACTATAATTTAAAAAAAAGGAAAAACTACCTACAATTCCACTACCTTGTTCTTGTCAACTAAGCTTTTTCTCCTGTATGTAGAATGGGCTCTTAGCCCTGCAGACTGGTTACTGGAACCGTCTTCTTCGCCTCTCTGTTGACAGCCAGAGTCAGGATGTGTAGAGGGTGGGAGGGCCCAGGGATGGGGACTGGGCTGTTTCAGTTTCTTCTGCACCAAGTCCTCATTCTCATCTCAGGAGACTTTTGTGTTTCAAATACAGATGTCGTGGTTTGGATCCAAACCAGCTCCCAAGGGCAGCATCCGGCCATCTATCTCAAACCCTCGGATACCATGGTCCTAGAGGGAACTACCCAAGGAGGGAGCTCCATGGGGTGACACTTTTTCCGTGAAAAGAACACTGACACACCAGTCTGGGTGGGTTTTTAATCACCATATCTGCAGTATTTTGTACAAGCATCTAAACATTGTTTACAAGACTTAAGGCCCACTTCCCTGCAGACTGACATAAACCTCAGGAGGTAGCTATCCTGTCATTCTGGTCACCAAATGGGAGGGTCCCAGCACTACCCAGATTTCCACAGTGCTGCTAAAATCCCAGCTCTGGCGAGCACCCCATCTGCACCTGAATCCTCTGACTTTGAATGTTAGCACTTAAAGCTGAAGCTGTCAGTATCTGTCAGCAAGGAGGCAACCAATTCATCATGTAGTGATGATGCTGGAGGAAGACAGCCCTTTGAAGTGGTGCCTGGCAGGCCCAGCCTACCTGCTTCTGCTGCAAACAGCCAGCTCAGTGGGGGTGTTCCTTAAAAATTCCCCTTCCCTGTTAGCATGTTTGGGTTCAGATGAGTGAGAAGAGGCTTCTTAACCCTTCCTCTCAAGAAAACATTATTTTACCTTGTTTCTGAAACCACCTAAAACTTTAGATGTGTACATCTCTAAGGTACTCCGGGGCCAGTGGATTAATGAATGTGCAGCTTTTGGATGGTATCCCATTTTACTTACAGAAAAACTAGTAAATATATAAAAAGATCATAAGGATAGTTCCAAATACACTCACTTGCCTTTTTAATGAATGTACTGTCTTGGGTAGGTTGCTGGTAAACCATTTTAAACTGTTTTTTATAGCTAAAGTTCTTCACTATTTAAACATGTCTTCTGTATTATAAAGTCCGTTTAACTGGTTCTTAAAGGAAAGTCAGAGCATCGAGAGGACATTATTTCTAAAACTGGGATTCCTGTCCCTTTGTAACTTCACTAGCCTTCTCTCTGAAGTAGTGGTGGTATTTTACTTGCTTTGCTTTTAATTCTGTGTTGTACTAACACTAAGCAAATGCTAATCACAGTTTTTCTCCCGTTGAGGACAGTGTGGCATTTTCAAAGGAAGCAGCAGCTAACCCTCCCCTAGTCTTGACCAAAACATTGGAAGCAGTCTGCCTTGTACGTAGAACCACCACCTCTCTCCTCACCTTACCCTTCCATTCACACGTGGGGTCCAGACAGCCCCCAGCTGGCTGCACTACTTGGCAGCCTGCAGATGGCTCTAGTAGTGACTGCTAGAAAACTGGTACTTGTTATTACTACTGGAAAGGGAACATGCTTGTCCTGGATAAGCCACAATATGGAATCTAAAGGCAAACCATTTACTGATCTATAGTTTGATGAAAGTTTCCTTGTTAAATAAAAAACTGAATTAATAACTGGAGCTCCTAAATTTCTTATCAATTATCCAATAATGTAAAGTTGTTTCTCGATGCTTAGGATTAAAACATACACATATATATATATACACACGTACACATCTCACAGAAGAAGATTTGCAGAGTTGACCTACTAAATTTCCGTGAACCTGGGCAGCATCACCTTACACCCAACTCAGCTGTCTGCCATCCAGATGAACTACTCTAGTTACCTACTTCCTTACCTCCTCATGTGGCTCTTCCTTACAGGTGGCTCTTCCTTACAGATGTCTGTCCCTTGTTTAGAATGCTATTTTCCATTCACCTGGTGGGCATATGAAATGGGAGTCCTTCTGTTTTGTAATTTTGACGAGAGGTCGCTTTTACCAAAAAAAAGGATATCCTCCTTTTTATCTGTTCAGGAGAGAATCCCCAAGAGGTTTGGGTAGGTCAGAGCTTGCCAGAAGCAGATAACGACACTCCTGTGGAAGCCGGGTCCAACTCCTTCATGGCTTCTCCAGCCCTTGAGCTGGTCTCACATGCCCCACCCCGCCCCTAGCTGGCAGTTTTAGGTGTGGTTGTGGGGCCCATCACTAAGTCTGTACCTGCTTAGGGAGTATTCACTCTGATTAGGCTTTCCTCCTGCATGTTGAATTTCCTTCAGCTTTAAGAGGAAGAGTGGAGTAAATATTCTAAGTGATTTAATGCACTTTTACTTGTATAAAACGTTCTGTGATAGACAGTATATATAGCCCTTTATGTAAACATTGGATCTTGATCTCTCAATATTGTAAATACAGACTGTATTATCTAAAACTGCTGTAGAAAGTTCATTTGTGATGCAGTACACTTTTTGATTAAAGCTCTTCAATCCAGGTGCAACTACAGTGAGTTATTTGATAGAGTTTGGTACGCCAGTATTTTTTGACTTGTTAAATTATGTGCATTGTGTCTTGTATTTAATACTTCTAGGCCAACTTCAAGGGCTACAGAACGTTTGTCTTTCAGAAAGAACGTCCCAGGATTGGGTGTGGTGAATAAATATATGTAATTTAATGAAGCCCACAGCCCAGTTCTACTTGCCAAGAATTGTGGTGGTTCTGCAAAGTAGCTGTGGGGTAGGAGGAGGATTGTGTGGGTGTCCCTTCCTGGATCCCAGGCCCACATGACTGGGAAAGGCTTCAGGAATATAAATGGGGTCCTTAACTTTTAACAGAATGCAAGCTGCAGTTACATGTGCTGTCATTGTTAGCAGTTACAGGAAACAGCATTCTGCTTTTATATGTACAGTGTGATGGCTACCTGTTTCTGGCTTTTTATTCTTTGAAGAAAACTTGTCAATATAGTGGTAAGAGTATTCATGCAACACAGCAGAATCCATGGCCCCAGGACCAGCATCAGGAGATAACGACCAGGCATATCTGAGGCCCACCGCAAAAGACTCCCAAGTGCAGTCACACAAACTGAAGACTTTTAAAGCCTGGATCAATTATTAAATTTTTGGCACTTTATTAAATTAAATAAGCTTCAAAAGTACATACAAATCAAGGGAGTAAGAAACAATAAACAGTTATTCAGCAAAACGCCTCTGTAGCAGCCAGTAGCATTGTGGCAAGAGGGCATATGGATTGCCATGCTCACTCCCCGGGGATGGCTAAACGAGGACACACAGGGGTCTAATCCCTTCTACCTTGATTTCCCTGAACAGTTAACCTCTCATGCCCATCCATTCATTAGCATTTTTTAACATACATGAAACACACCGCAATGTATATACTAATAAGCCAAGAGCTTTATTGATGCAGCAGGCACTTTACAATGAACCCAAGAGAGTCCGCCTTCTCTGGAAAGACGGGATGTCTGTACAAACCCTCAGGTTTTTTCCACTTCATAAAAACAAGCTCTCCCTTTTACCACAGCCCTTGGATCTGCACCTGCCAAATCACCCCTCCCCCATTTTAAACAGGCAGTGCACACCTGACCAAGGCTGGCCAGTCACTCTGGTAGACAGAATGTCAGTTCTGCATTACTCACAGACAAAGGCATACTATCAGATCCTGCAAAGGATTTAGGAAACAGTAAGACAAATTCTCCCTCCACCTTGAAAATAAAATACATTTCAGAGGACACATGTCCTGAAAAGTTTAGTTGGGAGTTCCTAGGAAGATGGTCCGTGTCAATCCCTTCTTCACCAGCCTGTGCATCCAAAATTCTTATCTTCTCAAGGTAACATGAGTCTCTTTTTTTTTAAACAGTCTTTCTTGCTGTAAGAACTCTTATAATGGAGCCTAGTCCTCCTACTGCTAATGCCTGTTGGGGCAGGAAAAGAAAATGTGTCAAATGAGACCTGGCTAGCCAAGAGAAAGGAGCCTGGCTTGCCAGGGAGATGGGACCATGCACTTGGGGACCTAGGTCCCCACCACACAAACCCTGTGAAAAAGGATTCCTGTAAGAACACAGGAGGCAGCCACAGAGACCACATTCTAGGGAAGAAGCCCTGTCCTGGAACTAAGGGTGTGGAAGAGCTCCTAGCTCATGGCAGAACTCAGCTTGAGAACATTGTTAGCAACCACACCCAGCAGAGCCCTTCAAGTTTGCCTTTTGAAAAACACGTTGTTCCCAGCCTCCCAGCACTGCCGTGGCACTTAAATGCACACTAGCCCATTAGAAAGCTGCCTCCTGGCACCCTCAATACATGTCAGACAGGACTGGGCACTGAGTCGCCTTAAAGGGATCAAAGGGCCTCGCCTCCACAGGCTGCTCAGCTCCCCTGAGCACCACAGCCACCCTCACCTGCTAAGCCCAGGAGCTTAATTTCAGAGGAGAGGCTGAGTACACAGAGACCCAAAAGGCCACAACCATAGCCCAGCACCTAGGCTGCCTGAAGTAACTGACCCATCAGTAAGAGAACCACTCTTTAAAATACAACACTGAGCCTTTTAGGAAGGACTTTGTGTTAGTAATATCCTGTCCCCCTCCCTGCCTGCCCGCACAACGGTGGGCATGCTCACTGAGCTCTATAGAGCAACGGTAAGTAGGGAGGGTAGGGTCGGGGTAGGACACAGCAGCACACAGGCAGGACACAGGCTCGACAAAAGGCCTTGTTCTCATACCTGACCCAAGCAAAGGGAAGAGATGGCGTTTTCTGCTTCAGGTGGATAAAGTGACAAGGTTTCTGCCCACTGACCCCCTACTGCCTGTTGAGGCTGGAAGCCCTTAGAGATAGCTGGAGGGGTCAGCCTGTATCCCTAAGACCACCCAAAGCAGCTGTCTCCACCAGTGCAAAGAAAGTATTACAAAGCCCCAGCCAACCAGCAATCCTCCCTCCTACCCTTGGACTACACCGTCTTCCCTACCATGCCAAGTCACCTGCCCCCGTGCCTGGATCAAGGGCCCCCTGTCCTGCCTGGCATAAATCAGCAGCTAAAGAGCAGAAGCAACTGCAGTTATACTAGAGACGAGATCCTTACCAGGTGCCTCCTTGGGAGAGGTAAGTGATTAGATGTCCCAGGTTGTTACAGGCTTTACAGGCTTGTCCCCTTATTCTCACATGCCTATCAGATTGTCCTGTTTTGGAAAATCTGGCCTGTTGGTTTGAACCCTGGGGAAAGTCAGGGCTGCCTGCCATGGCAACATGTTCACATACCTTTTCATGCCACTGGAGTAACACTGCACTGCTATTTTCTGTGGGCTTCTCAAATCCTTTATAAATGTACTTCATTAACAAGTCAATGCCGTTTCTGTCCAGTGACTGCACAGCCTGCTCAATTTCACTGCTCTTAAAATTTGTGAGCACTTTCAGCACCACACCCTGGGCTCGTTCCTACAGGGGAAAAGAGAAAGGGAGTGAGGCCCAGAGCCACAGCCCAGGCACAACCACATCCCCCACTGCAGACACAGGAACACCGAGTGGTCAGAACTCACCAGAAACATGGTTCAATTTCTGATTTGTCTAGGATGATTTAAAAAAAAATTTAAAAAGTGGACTGAAGTTTTGATTTAAATTTCAAAGTTTCCCTTATTTATACTAGTAAATTATTCCACTTTTTAGGGAGGGGGGAAGTGGTTTACTGGGCAGAAGCATCACTATTTTTGATGATATCAGCAAATCCTTACACTTCACAGGATCACAATTGTGGAGATCTATTTTTTTAAAAAATAGGTTTACTTCTCTGCAGCTTCCACCTGTGTAAACCCAGTCACAGAGGGACCATTCCCCTCTACCTCTGAGAAGATGGTTACACTGAGATGTGGCACAAGATGCCAAGATCCCGGCTTCAGGGAGAGCCCTTTTCCTGAACCAAATTTTAGTCAGCCTCAGTGGTATAGTAAACACAGCTTTATCTTCTCACCTAATTTCTAAAAGGTGAGAGATTTTAAAAGAACTTAAAATCCTTATGCAGATAAAGCCTATTCAGTAAGCCTATAAAAGCATAACCACTGCTAAATCCCACATGGCAAGCTAATTTATCTGTTTTGCTAATCAGCAAGGGCTGGGCTGACTTCTCACCCCATGAGGCCGTGGGGAGGAGCCAACATTTCTTTGGGGAGCTTTTACTATAAACACTGACAGCTTTGATGTCAGAGGAGCCTCAAAGTCTGTGAGCACCAGGCGGCTTCTGTGGAAGCACTGCTTAGTGCCAATTCACTCTCTTGGCAGCTACTCACTGATGCGGAGATGAAACAGACACTGCCCAGAGCCCCAGGGAGCTCATGCTCCAGCTGGGAAGATGGACAACCACAGCCCTGGTCCCAACACCCAGCAGAGCTTCAGCACGACCCCTTTACCTTCACAGCTTGATTCTTGGTGTTGACGGGAGAGTTCCGCAAGGCTGCGTGAAACGCCCGAAGCATGTCCCCTGTGCATCACCACCAGTTAAGGATGGTTAGGCTCAAGCTATGTTCATGCTTTCATTAATGAACTCATTTCAAAAGCAGCTCAAGGGAGCAGAGACAAATGGGATCTTCCATTACCCACATCCCCCACCTCCTCCTATCTTGGCTTCCAGGTGGGCAGTGCCTGTTTAGATAGCAGGTAGCTTTCCTGAGCCAGGGAGAGAGTGGAGAGCACTTCTGCCAACCCTACAAATTCTTTCTGCTTCTCTTAACCTCCCTCAAAGCAAGTTTCAGCACTCACTCGGGAATCAACTGCCCTTATAGCGTAACTTCCAACAAAATCTGATTAAGCTCACTTGCACCTGGCTGGTGCTGGCCACTTTTATCTACACATGGATCCTCACAGCAACCATGTGTGTGGACTGGAGGTTATTATTCTCATTCTATAAATGAAAGCACAAAGGCACAAAAAGAGCTCTCCTAACTCCTCGATCCCATGCTTTTTATCAGTAAAACGACTGACGAAATTAAGATGTGCTAAAACTTATATCCTCATCTTCCAAGACCTATGAGTCCCTGGCTGGTGCAAATGGCTAATGTGCTCAGAAGCTAACTGAAGGTTGGAAGTTTAAGTCCACCCAGAGGTGGCCTCAGAAGAAAGGCCTCATGATCTACTTCTGAAAAATAAGCCACTGAAAACCCTATGGAGCACAGTTCTACTCTGACACACATGGGGTTGCCATGAGTCAGAATCAACTTGACAGCAACTGAGTGGCTTTCCGAGACCTTCCCAGGTCAGTGAGGGCCAACGTGCTACCAAAAGAGGATTTATTATCTAAAAGAACCTTCTGCCAACAAAACAGGCCAATCCCCACCTCCAAAGTTTAGCTGCAATCCTGCCACCAGATTCTTTGCTGAGTTCTGAATACCCAGCACTCGAGAAAATTGCAATCTGGGTTAGGTCCCCAAAGGTGACACCTATTTTAAACTGAATTACATCAGCCAACTTTCATTTCCTCATCTGAAACACTAGCTTCAGCCAAAAAGCTTCAAAAATAGACCAAGGAATGGCTTCTGCCCAATCGGGTCTCTATGCCTGTTCATGCAGCGATACCCCTATGTGAACAGACAGAAACAAGCAGAACCTCTTGCTTTCCCTAGTGTGGCTCCATCTTCACAGAGCTGGGCCCATGCCACCAGATGATCATCCCTAACCCCTGGTCCCTTGGCCCCCACCTTGGCTCTGATCCACCTTCCATATTCAAGAGGCAGGCCACCCCCTTTATCTTTCAGCTTTGAAATTCCTTTTCTCCAGCCAAACAAGGGCCAGTCTGATATCAGCCACTGAAATCCTCTATCTCATAATCCTTTTAATTTGGGGTCCCCAAAGCAATAAAAACTCCCCAGATGGTGCAAAAGTGCCTGGGTGGCACAAGTGGTTTACGACTGGCTGCTATCCTAAAGGCTGGTGGTATGAACCCCCACCCCAGCAGCTCCATGGAAAAAAGGCCTGGCGATCTGCTTCTGTAAAAATTATAGCCAAGAAAACCCTATGGAACAATTCTACTCTGATACACAAGGAGGCACCATGAGTTGGAGTCTACTCAACAGCACCTAGTTTAAAGCAATAAGCAGGACTCCAGAGCTTAAGAGGAAATGTAGCTGGCACCCCATAAGGCTGCATGCTCGTCACTCGAACCCAGCATGATTGGCAGACAAAGTCATTCCGTGGGGGCAAAAAGAGTCATTGCTTTAGAGTTAACTTTTCTTACTGCCAATCTGCTAAGCATTCACTATAGGCTTTGATGGGAAGGGGACCTTCAGCAGCTGGGGAGATCTGGGGAGCAGAGAGGGCATCCCTACAATCACACATTATCTACTAAGCTGGCCTCTGTGCATTTGGCCCTTTCAGAGAACAGGCTGTGAAGGTTGTGGGTACCCTGCCCAGTCCCTGGTCTCCTCTAGACCAGGGTTTCTCAACTGCAGCACTACTGACATTTTGGACTGGATGATTTTTTGTTGCAGGGTCTGTCCTGTGTATTGCAGGATGTTTAGCAGCATCTGTGACCTCCACTCACTAGATTCCAGTAGCAACCCCAAGTTGTAATGATCAGAATGTCTCCAGACACTGCCAAATGTCCCTAGAGGTGAGGGACTGCAGAATTGCTCAAAACCACTACTCTACACAGCTCCCTGCTTCAGTGAGGAGGAAAAGGAACTGCTTAAATGCACCTACAAGGCCTCAGATCCTATGGCAGGTGCTTTCATGTGTCATCTCATTACTGCTAACAACCCTTTGCAATAAGGATCGTTATTTTAAAGACAATGAAACTGAGACTCAGAGGAAGAGAAATGACCTGCACAAGGTAACAAAGCTAAATAGTCCAGCTGGCCTTCAAACCCAAGTTGCCTGCTTCCAAAGTCAACTTCTACAATCCCCTGCAGACCCAAGTTGTATATCTGGAACACTCGCTGTGTGCCCAGCACTGTGCCGGACCCTTTTGGGGTGCTGTCCTATTATGTTCCCACAGAACCTGTGAGGCCAGCACGGGTATGTGACCTGCCCAAGATCATGCAGCAAGAGCTAAAAAGGCGGGGTCTGTGTGGAGGCACAGCTCACGCTCCTTCTACTTCAGCTGTGTAATCCCCCACCATGATCTGCTTTCCGATACAGCCTTAGGACAGGTCCCCTCCCCACTTTCCCTCATGCCAATCAAGCAACCTTTCTTCCTGTGTCCTAAGATGCCTAGAAGTCTGTTCTATGGCTTAACTTCAATGATCTAATGTTAATTAACAGGCACATGATAGGGATTCAGTAAAAATTAGTTCCTTTCACCTTCCTCCCCTAGCCCCTCCTTTGCCAGGATTTCAGTTCTTTACATCTGCTAACCTCCCCTTCCCCAATCCCCAAAAAGTACTCTCTCCACAGTCACAAGGTTTCTGACACTTCCATTAGTGGAAAAACTACCTCCACAGGATGTGCTAAGCCTAAGCCTCCAAATTGTCTTAAGGAACCTATCACTAATCAGAGGCAGAGCAAGAGATGACCTTCAACAAGCTCCTGCAGCAACAAAACCAAGGCAGCAGCTGACAGGGCCTCGGTCTCCTCATCTGTGGAATGAAGCTACTTCGTCACAGGCCTGACCCTGGAGCCCATGAGTCAGGTCCTGTACCAAGCTACAGAATCAACCTTCTCTCCTGGGTGTCCTTCCCATGACCCCATTTCACCAGTGGGGTAAGCAGGTGATCCTGATGGGGCAGGAAATACCAGTTTGAATCCCCACCTTTAAAAACACGTTGTTCAAAGAAAGTCTGAAGGTTTTTGTTTTAAAGGCACATTGGAGGAGGACCGCAGGGCTCCCCTCCCAATAGCAGTGTATGAGGCCCAACTTCCCAAGCAGAGTCAACCAATTAAACACCAAGAACCTCATTTTCATACGGTAGGAGCTTCCAACCCTGCCCTGGTAAGTTAGGGGGAGGGGAGAACACTTCCTGTAACACTATTTGAATAAAGAAAAATTCTTCCTGTGAGAATAAGTCAGTTTCCTGTGCTCAAACTGCTAAGGGACCAAGCAGGCTGTGACAACCATCTCTATTTTTAATCTTGTTTTCTAAATCCTTGTTTTCTGTGGCCACAAGAACAGTTATTTCCAGTCCTGGGCTCTACTTTTACATTTCACTTTGCACTGTCTGGTTTTTCTTAGCTGTAAACTACTAGTTTTTGCCTCTGCTTCCTGCACAACCTGCACAGGAAGGCTACTGGGGAAGCCAAAACTCACTTGTTGAGTGTGGCTGAGACCAAACCCAAGGTGTTCAGAAGGAACCGAGAATAGGTTTGAAAGGGTAGCATTAAACTGAGGGTCGACTGACTGGGGTGAGGGGAGCACAATCTCAGACCTCAGGGCTGGACTAAGGCTGCAACCTTCGCTTCCCATGAGTTCTTTCTTACCCCGCAGCCATGCACCCACCTATTTTCATGTTGTGCTACAATCGGGCCCAAGAAGGCCAGTAGGGCAGGTGCAGGAGCCGCCCAGACCGCTCAATTACTCAGCGTTGGCTCACCTCGGCCCCTCCCGCCGACCAAGCCCGTCAATAGCCCCATTTCCGGCGAAGGAGGGATGGAATGATGGGGCGCTCAAGGAAGGGACTTCCTGAGGGGCTGAGAAGGCAAAGCGGAGAAAAGAGGAGAAGCTGCGCTGAGAAGTGAGGGGTGCGGGGCCTCCGGAGCCTGGAGGGTATACCAGGGCCGGAGGAGGATCCGGCATGCTCCTGAAACCGCCGAGTGAGGTCAACCACCTGGGACTTGGGGCCGCGCTGCTGAGGGGACCGGGCCAGGGATAAGGAGAGTGCGGAGACCATACCTGAGGGGAGCTTGGCTGGGGCTGAGGTAAATGAGGAGACCAGGAGTGAAGGGAACCGGGCCTTAGAGGAGCCGAAACGGAAGAGTATTGGGAGACTGACCTGAGGGGGCCAGGGTTATGGGGATTGGGGAGGCTGAGCCGGAGGGGCCAGAGCCGAGGATGGGAAAGTAGGGAGACCAGACCAGAGGGGAGCCCAGGCCGAAGGGCCCATGGGCCGCCGCGCCGGGGAAGGATATTGCCGCAGGAGCCCGTCCACCTCGCTCGGGTCCGGGCCTGGCTCGGTCGCCGCCGCTGCCGCCTCCTCCTGTTCGTCCACGAATTTGTTCTCGTCAAACTCGTCGATGTCCACCCGGCGGAAGCGCGAGGACAGCGTATTCCGGGCCATGGCGGGGGCTCCGCGCCCGCTGAGCCGGTTCCGCTCTACCCCACAGCACCGCTCCGCTCTGCTCCAGCTCCGGTTCGGGGGTGGGAAGCGGCCTCCCGGCACCTCCTCCACCACCTCCGCGCGCAGCCGCCGGCCGCCCGCCCACTTCCGGACTACGCCGGAACCGGAAGCAAGGGCGGGCGCGGAGGTTGGAGGGTTCGTGGTACGCGAGGCAGAAGGCCGTAGGGGGCTGGCGTGGTGGTTTCTCTAGTCCCCTCCAACCAAACTGGAACCTCAAGTCTTCCCGACTGGGGAGTGGGAGCCCCATCTCCGCCTAGGCCGTCCCCGGTTTCCCTCCTCTCCTCGAGGAGAAGGGACAGCGTGTGCACAGCCGCGGACTCCGAGGGTGATCACTGCCAAGACTGGGGGGACACGGATCCTCAGGAGAAGGGACCCGGCTCTGCCTGTTGAGTGCTGGGCAGGCTTCTTGGAGAAAAAACCTTCGAGCTAAGTCCTGAGGGATCAGTAGGAGTTCTCATGCCTCGGGAGTGTAGGTCTCTGATCTTAAGGGCCTTGAATGCCATCACACTGAGCTCTGAGGAGCCTGCCTCTGCCTTGTACACAGAAGTCACCCCATTGTTAAAGAAGTAGGAGGCTTTAAAAACGTTTAAAGTGTATACAGACGTGTGACAAGACTGAAGACGTTTGGGCTTGAAGGTGTGATGACCCCACATGTGTGGCAGTTACCTTGACCTGGCGGGTGGGGGATGGGAGAGGACATGATGAGAAGTGGGGCCCAGCTGGAGAAGCGTGCCCTGGTACAGAGCAGAATCTCCAGAATTAGAGATGGGGGGTCAGGACAGAGTCAAGGAAGACTCCAGGTGCCAAGATTAGGTGCCTGAGAGTTCTGTTAACCTGTTAACCAAGCTAATTGGTAGCTGAATTGGATCTTTGTTTTCATGTAATACTATTTTTTTAATAAAGGCTAGTATTTAATGAATATGACTCATTTTTATTGCTTTGAATACTTCTCATTGAACTGTGCCTACAGATCAAAAAAATATTGCCAGACTGTGATGCTACTTAATCTTAGGTGCTAAAGATACAGACTCCCACAGAGAGAAATAGGTGCTGAATAAAAGTATTGGGGGTCCTGGAAGCAGGTGAAGCCCACCTTCATTTCAGCTCTTCAGCTGGAAAGAAATCTTTATGACCCAGGCAAGCCACAAGACAGCAAAGATTCATAGACCCAGCACATCCCAGTCAGAAGAGACTCTACACCAGAAACGCCCATTTCGCAAGTAAGGAAACAGCTCCCAAATAAACTGGTTAACAAAATAATGTCCTTGCTCATGGTCATGGACTTCCATTCCAGTCAGGGAGACAATGAAAAAATTCATGTTCTACTATGTCAGGGATGATTCAGAGCTGAGGGAAGAAAAATCACAAGTGTTGGGAAGTGTCACTTTAGATAAGATGGTAGAAAAATGGCAATTTATCAGACCTCATCTAACATCACGATTTCTATGAGGTGGAGAGGTCAGACATACCTCCACTCTCCAACCTTTTTACCAATTCTGACACCAGCTGTTCCTCCCACCAGCACTCTACTTCTCCGCTGGTTTCAATAATTCATTGCAATGGCCACATGAAACTCACAGACCATACTCACAATTAGGGGGTTTATTAGGGAAGTAGGTTACAATTTAGGATCAGGCTCAACTTGAAAGTAATGGGAACAACTCAGGATACAGTTCCTCGATCAGGACAGCTTCTTGGCTGCTGCCACCATTTCCTTGCTCTAGCCTGGGCCCTGCCCTGCTTGAGCAAGTGTCACAAAGCGCTTCAGCTCTGCTAAGTGCCCAGAGGCACCCCACTCCGCCAGCAAGCCTCCTACCCAAAGGCACTCAGCTCTCGCTCCATGGGTTGGCGCCCACTGTAGCCACCTTGCTACAGTACTGTCTTGCTCCAGTCTCCTGGTTCTACTGCCGTTTCTCTGCCGCTGGGCTCTGCCGTGCTTGCCAACACTTCTCGCTGTCTTGCACTGTCTCCAGTGTTACAACTCTGTCTCCTAGGTCTAGGAGGTTCTCAGTGCAGGGACCTTAGGTCCAAAGGATACACTCTGCTCCCGACTCTCTTGATGATATTGAGGTCCCCCCCAACCTCTGGGATTGGTCCCCTTTAAGCCTAGCAGGATGGCAAAACTGACCAATCCCCTATAAGGATTCCATGCACCTTATTTATATGGTTCCACCCCTGCAAAGATTCCATGCACCTTATCTGCATTAGCAAAACCGTCCAATCCCTTTGGTGGGCCATAGCATTCCATTTGCACAGTCCCACTCAATTATCTCATGGGAACTACAAGACCATGGCTAGAAAGGCCATACAACAGCAACCTACTGCACCCAGATAGTCAAAGAAAGCACAGAGACCTGAAGGAAGTGAAAGAGGGGGCCAAGCAAAGGCCCAGAGGCAGGGCAGGTTTGGTGTATTTCAGAAACAGGCCATAATGGAACAGAAGAGTGAGAAGAGATGTGATAGAGCGGGGCAGGGGAGGTGGTGGTCTTAAATGGGACAGCCCTGGAAGTTCTGAGCAGAGCCATGACATGATCTGACATAGGTTTGAAAAGGGTCGTTCTAGCAGCTGTATTGAGAACACATTTTGGAGTGAGAGCTGAAGGAGGGAGGTGATTTAGGAGGTGACTCCAATGGTCCAAGTGATGGGCAAGAGTAGTTCAGACCAGGAGGGTGCCAATGGGGGTGATAAGAATAGGCTGGATATATTTTGAAGGTAGAGCTGGCAAGATTTGCTGATAGATTGGGTGTGGCATGTAAGAGAAATAGGAAAATCATAGATGACTTCAAGTTCAGAAAGAACGTACACAGCTCTAGTAGCAATAGAAGTATTTGGAACATACAACAGGGAAGCCCCATGCATTATTACACTTCCACTTAAGACTAATCCATGCCATGATTTCTCTCTGTCTGCCCTCTCTTCCCTGTATTCCTCCACCTCCTGGAAGCCTGCCTTACTGTGGTCTGAGGCAAAGCTCATTCATTCATTCATCCAACAATCATTCATGTGCTGGGCCTGGAGATTAAAAAGGCCAAATCAGGTATTGGCCATGGTTCTACCTTAACCAGACATCTGAGAGGTGTCTTTGTTAAGGGTACTGGAGCGGCACTGGAGTACTGATTCACACTTGCTGGCTGGGGGCCCAGTCAGGAAGCCTGGGCACCTTCCTTGATTTGTGAATTTTCCTTTAACTTTCAGGGCCCAACTTGTTCCACTGGGAACATTAAAACAGATAATATTTTGAGTGTCACTATGCACCAGGTCTTATGCTAAGAGCTAAATCTCATGCTAATCTTCACAAGGAGTCCCTGAGCTACGAAAAGGTTAAGCACCTGACTACTAACCCAAATGTTCGCGGTTGGAACCCACACAGAGGAACCTCAGAAGACAGGCCTAGTGATCTGCTTCCAAAAGCTCTCAGCCTTGCAAATGCTATAGAGCACTTCTACTCTGCACACATGGGGTCGCCATGGAGTCAGAATCGACTGGACAGCAACTAACAACATAATCTTCATAAACACTCCACTTCACAGATGAGAAAACTGAGGCTCAGAGAGGCGAAGGGATTTACGAAGGGTCCCAGCTAGCACGTGGCAACAAAATAAGAATTTAAAACCATGTGGGGCTCACTAAACAAAGGGGCATTCCACCGCAGCATGCTGTCTCCATTAGAACATTTATGGTGATGGATGACACTGCAGGTGTCTGACCTCGCCACTCCCCGCCCACCTCGGACATAAGTTCCTCCAAGGCAGGAACGGCGTTAGTTCATCTTTCAAAAACCCTCACCCCTCATCCCTTCCGCATTCCCGAGTCCAGGGCGCCTAGCTCAGAGCGGCATAGACGGAGCGACCTGCAAAGGTTTACCGAATAAATTAACGAACGAATGAATTACTGAATAGACGAATTCGAGTCCTGTTATGCCATCTCCGGTAAACTCTGAGCCTCGATTTCCCCAGCTGCGATACCGACCACAACAGCCTCCAGTGCCGGGTCGGGGTCGGGGAGAAGACAACGACACCAAAGGACCGCGCTCCAGCTCCTCCGAGCGGGGCTAGATGGGCAGTACGAAGGCCCACCCCCGGAGGGGCGGAGCCGGGACTCCCCTGCCGCGGCACCATTGGCCGAGCCCGCCGTCACCCGGCAGTAGTTGCAGAGGTCAGCCCCACCCACCTTCTCTTTCCCTCGGCCTCGGATCCGGCGGCGGCTGGCTTCTAGGGCTGAGCCATGGTGAGGACAATGACATCGGGCGCCATCCGCGCGCCGTAGGGCTTTGGGGCTGGAGTGACGGGCGCGGGGTGAGCCCCAGGGTCCCATCTGCCGGTCGAGCCAGTGCGGGCGCGGCGCGGCCTAGCGGAGCTACAGCCGTGTTCCTGCTTTCTGCCCCTGACGGGCCAGGAGCGGGAGAGACACGCGCACGCCAGTCGGGTCCTCAGTCTTCCAGGCTGCGCAATGGGAGTAGCGGCCCCGCCTCGTAGCAGGCTTAAGCGAGGGCGCGCCCGCCGGGGGCTCGGCTACTTTACCCGAGAAACGGCCTTGCCTCGGGACGCTGAATCTTCGCCGGGCCCGCGGAGTGCTCATGGCCGCGGACGAGGGGCATACCTTACCGGGGCTGGCCCCGTCGCCGGTGGAGGAGGAGGAGGGATAGCCCGTGGCGGCCTCGGCGGGCGACGGAGGGGGAGATGATCCCTCGGGGTGTCTGACCCGACCCCTTTTCGCGCGTAGGCCAAGATCAAGGCTCGGGACCTTCGCGGCAAGAAGAAGGAGGAGCTGCTGAAACAGCTGGAGGATCTGAAGGTGGAGCTGTCCCAGCTGCGCGTCGCCAAAGTGACTGGCGGTGCGGCGTCCAAGCTCTCCAAAATGTAAGTCCGTCAGTCAGACTTCAGCCCTCTGGGGATGAGGGGCACGTGTGCATCAGGATGGAGCGATTTTGGCTTTTTGGAATTGACTTGAGGTACTCATGCCCGTTCAATGGGTCTGTGAGCTAAAATGCTACACCCTTCCTAACCGGCCTTGCCAGGCTCACCTTGCCCACACCCAGCTGCATGGGACACACTGTGTGCTTTTCCTCTTACCTGACTTTGTCAGTGCATGTCCTTTTACCTGCAGTGCCTTTGCACACCTTCTCTGGCTGAAGAAAGAACTGGGCCTCCCTGAAGACTCATTTTAAATGCTTCCCCTTAAGTTGTACTGTAACTTTTTTATTTGCATGGATAGGAATCGGAGACTTGTGGAAGGAACATAGGTTTGGAGCCAGCAGATCTAGGTACATATCCTAGTTCTGCCACATCCGACTTGCTGGGCAGGTTGCCTCACCTTTAGTCATATGTAAAATATCCCCCGATACACAAGCTTAAAGTCGTGTGGATGGGGGAATTGAATGAGTAGGGGGAACATGTAGGCAAGTTGCATGCTGGATTCCCCAGATCTTGTTTATCAGCTATCTACTAGGGACGTACCCTGATCTCCCAAGATACCTCATGCTCAGCATGACTGTGAACTTAGCTTCTCCCCAGCTTGCTTCCAGTTTCAGCTAATCCCTCCCTCCCCCACAGTGGCATTTCTACTTCCCAAATGTCTCATTTCTCCCTCCCATGATTCCTTTAGCTCACCTGGTTGCCCAGTTGTGGCATGATTCCCTCCAGCCAGCCATCTCATGGCTGACTGAATCTGCTGGTAAAATGCTCATCTGATGGGGTCTGTGATTAGGTTGACATTGGTTAGGTCTTCCTCATCACCATCAGGATGAATTCCTTGGCTTCATATTGAAGGTTTTTCCTGATCTGCACCGCCTCTCCAACTTGCAGTTCTCCCTTAAGCCCCTTCTGCTTCCATCTCAATGAACGTATCACAGCAGTGGGCCCTCCATACCTCTCTACACTCTGCTCAAACCTCACCTCCAGGAAGCCTTCCTCTTGGGCTGGGTCAGGTGTTCCTGGGTGAATCTGGGCTGCTGCCCTATGGCAGACCCTGAATGAGCTGCCTTGGGAAGTGCTGTGTGTCTTTCTTATTTTCACTGACATCTCTCTTGTAGCCGAGTTGTCCGCAAATCCATTGCCCGAGTTCTCACCGTCATCAACCAGACTCAGAAGGAAAACCTCAGGAAGTTCTACAAGGTAAATTTAAGGCTGGAAGGGAGGGGTGTGTGGCTGCAGGGAGCAAAGTTCTGGCTCTAACCCTGGACAGAAGGGCAGCGTGAAGTGGTTCTCCTGCTGGAGTGCATGGAACTAAGCTTTACCCAGACTTAGTTAGTCTTTCCAAAGCTCCCCCACCCCCAGCATCTTGCACTGGCGTGTGGCACTTGCTTAGTGTTGCGAATGTCAAGAAATCAATTGTGTGATGGGAGTCTGGCTGGAGACATGGGTGTGAATCCACCCTTACCAGCTGAGTGACCTTGGGTAGTTTATGAGGATTGAACGTTTTAAATGTCTCTTAGTAGCACCAGTTGGTCACTGCCAAGCACTTGACATTCTCTCTTTTAAGATTAATCCCCAGGCTTACAGAGGTTAAGTTGCCCAGGGTCACCTACAAGTAATGCAGTGATGGGCCCAGCTTCCAAAGCATGTCTTGGGGAGCAGGGAGGAGTGGATTAGGTGCTCCTGGGAGATTTCCACAAGTGTCTGTCTGGTCCCTCAGCCTTGGATTTTGACAACCATTTTTTGGCCTTGTTCTTAAAATTAATGTATCATAGTTCAAAGCAGAGAAATAGAACCAGTAGGAGACATACATATCTTAAAGAAATTTATTGCAAAGAATTGCCTGTGGGGGCTGGCTAAGCAAGTCTAACATCTGTTGGGCCACCTGTCAAGAGGAAAGATCCTGGGCACAGGTTGAAGCTTCTGTCCACAGGTGGGGTTTCTTTTGGGCAGTGCTGTAGCCTTGCTTCTAAGGTCTCACCTGATGGAATGAGCGCTGCCCAGATTACTCAGGATATGCTTCCTTACTTGGTCAACTGATTAGGGGCTTTAATGACATCAGCAAAATTCCTTCACATCAACATCCGGATTGGTGTTTAAATAATATGGGCTGTGGCCAGCCAAGCTTGACACATCAAAAAAGTTAGCACAGTGTGCCTGGGCTAGTTGTCCAGGGCATGGGTGCTGCCACCCCATGATGTGTGTGCATTTGTACGTGGGAGCATTTTTCTGAGAAGTGTGTCTGAAGCTTTCAAGAGGCTCTGAGGGGACCTTGCAGAGGTGGCAGCCTAGAAGAATTGGTCTTAACGACCATCCAGTGAGTACCCTGTGTGCCCATGTCAGGGCCGCCAAACAGCCAGGCTGGAGGGAAAGACAGCCCACGCACCGCTCAGTCAGGGAGGTAGGGGAGAGGTCTCTGCCTCTGGCAGCTCTACCCAGAACTCTCTGCGATGATGGAGGTGTTCTATGGTTGTGCTATCCGATACAGTAGCCACTAGCCACATGGGGGATGTGTGAGTGGGCAGATATTTTCCTGCCTCCAAGTCCCCACCAGAGCTCGTCCTACAGTTCTCTGCCCGCAAGCTTTCATGACCTGATCCCCACTTGCTTTTGCACATACCTACCCTTGCCTCTACCCTCCAGGCTGTTGCCAGGTCTTAAGTGAAACCTTCCTTGATTCCACCACCACCACCACCACCATTGTTGGGCCACTTGTTATCTGTTGAGGGCTCCTGGAGCAGGGACTGGGTCTGATTCATCACTAAGCCAGCAGCTAGTAGAGGGCCTCATCCCAGAGAGGGCCCAGAGGACCTTTGAAGAACAAAGGGAAGACCAGTGAGAGCTGCCTTCACTGGGGAGTAGTGTGCCAGCAATGAAGAGACGATGGTCCACTCTGGGCAGGAGGGGGAGGACTTTGCCCCTTAGAGCAGAATAATCTTGGCCAAGCCAAATCTTCCCTCTGAGGCTCACATGTCAGTGGGAGCCTCCATGTGGGCAGGTTATTGGCAGGTGACACCACAGGCAGACTTTCAGCAGGCGCCGGCTGAAGCCACCACATGCACCACCTTGTGTAACTTAAAGCCAGGGTCGCAGTACCACCCCCAGGATTGGTGGGAGCTGCATGCCCCTTACTTGGATTGTGGTATGACTTTGATTCCATGGCCAGGAATGAGGCAAGTGGAAGGAGCACTAAGTTAGGATAGTGTTGACTTGGGTCGAAGCCACAGTTCTGCCAGTTTCACTGAAATCAGCACCTCTGCCAGCATCTTATCATGCTCTCCCCTGTTGGACCTTTCTCTGCTGTAGCTCCTAAACCCTGGTCCTCAGACTCACCCTGTTTCTCCCCGCCCTCATCCAGGGCAAGAAGTACAAGCCCTTAGATCTGCGGCCCAAGAAAACGCGTGCCATGCGCCGCAGACTCAACAAGCACGAGGAGAACCTGAAGACCAAGAAACAGCAACGGAAGGAGCGGCTGTACCCACTGCGGAAATACGCAGTCAAGGCCTGAGCATCTCACGTCAATAAAACACAAACTGGCTGGCCTGTTGCTTTGTGTTTGAATGTGATTCCATCAGCTGGACAGGAGAGATGGGGTGGAGGCAGGGGTGAGGCCGCAGTGGCCCTGATTGTGGTCACCAGGTTTCTGATGGATTCTAGCGAGCTTCCTGGTGTTGGGCTGCAGGAGTCTGCTGGGTGTTCTGTTACAGTTTTTGAGCCCATGGCATGGAACTGCCCTGTCTGTCCTTCCACTAGTTCATTCTGCCAGGGCCGGAGGCGGGGTTGAGGGCTAGGCGGCCATTTGTGTTGGTGTAGTGCTGTTACATCCCAGAGGTCATCTGGTCAGCACCTGGCTCTGGGTGATTGGATCAGCATGCCTAATCAGCAGCTCCAGACACTAAGAGTTTCCCATCTGGGGTGAAGGCACAGGAATGGGCCACATCCAGGATTCCCTGCCAAAAGCACAGCACTGGGCTCCGGTGGCCCTGCCTGCCCCCAGCCTCCCTTGAGGGCCTTCACTGCACCCTGAGTGCTATAACCACAGGCCTCACCTTCAGGGTCTCAATGCACTTCCCCGTGTTGCAGTCCCAGACTTTGACCTGGAAATAAAAATTCCAGATTAGAGAGGCCTTACCAGGCAGATCTAGCATCTTTGAAATCATCAAGGGATGAGTCCCAACTGGCATCTTAAACTCTTGGTTTGGGATTTGTTGCCTGTGTACATTTAAAAATGCCAGGCAAGTATTGGAACATAGAAATATCGATACCATTGACATTTGGGCCAGCCCAGACCTTGGTGCCAGGTACTAAGTACAGAGGAGGTTACCACCTAGATCCTGCCCTTTGGTACCCTTCCAGTGAGGGCAGAGGGGGATGTGGACATTTCTGGATTGCTGAGGCGTCTGGTAGGGAGGGTGGAGATGTGTCAGAAGGGGAGCTTTGCTGGAGCAGGAATTGGTCGGGAGAAGACCTGGGTTTGGGGCTGAGGGGTTGGAATTACCATGCGGGAGTAACCAGCGCTGACCAGCCACAACTCATTGGGGGAGAAAGCTAAGCTCTTCACCCAGGTGACGTGGCCCTTGAGCTGGACAAGCAGGCTGGCTGTCTGGGGCTTCCAGATGCGGATGGTCTTGTCCCAGGAGCCGGATGCCTAGACAGCAGACAGTTCTGAGCGAGTGGGTGTGGGGTCTCCATGCTCACTGGGTCCCAAAATGCCCTATGACCCTCCTAGGGTCTTAGAGTCAGCAAGGGGCTAGCCCAGACTCCAGGGCAACCCAGCTCACCAGGAGGCCAGATGCTGAGTAGCACACGCAGCTGATGTTACCACTGTGGCCCTCCAGCTTATGGTGGAAGGCCTTTGGGGTCCCAGCCCGCAGGTCCCAGATGCGCACGGTGGAGTCCCAGGAGCCAGTGGCCTAGAGGCAGGCTGCTGTGAGCGTGGACCCGCTGGCCCAAACCCACCCATCTAGTGCCTAGGCTGGCCCACTCTGCAAGGCTCATGTAAAGCATCACTGAGCCCTGCTGAATCCCCATCTCACAGATGAAATGCTCAGCAAAGTTGCCCATTTAAAATCTGGAATTCTAACCCATCCATCCAACTCAGCAGCCCATGCTCCTCCTACTACTTGGCCTAGGATGGGAAAGTGGGCATGGGGCTCCAGTTCCCCTCATCCTGCAGGGCCACTGAGGTGGGGGCCAGGGCAGAGGTGGCATGGGCTCACCAGACAGTCCGCACTGGGTGAGAAGTCGCTGCTCTGGACAGAGTCACCGTGCCCAAGTAAGAGGCGCAGCATCTGGCCTGACTGGAGGAGAGAGGCCTGAGCTGCAGGAGGCAGTGGAGGGCAGCCAAGAAACCTTGGGGTGCCAGGTTCTAGGCCTCTGAGACCCAGGCCTTCCTTGCAGGACTGCCAGACTAATATGACACACAACACAGGGTCTGGGGAGGCTTCCAGGGCCTTGACAAGGAGAGGAAGTGCAGCCCAGGCAGGAGGAACCCCATATTGCAAAGGTCTTAAGGCGTGAGGGCTGGTATGTGCGGGGAGGCCTGGAGAGGTGGCAGCAGTCAGATGTGAGGGGCCTTGGATGCCAGGTATGGGCATGGGTGATGGGGAACCACAGAAGGGTTTGAGCAGAAGGGCAAGGCTGTGTAGGAACAACCTAGAGCCAGAGTGGAGGGTGTGGGTTTCCTCCGGATCCCAGGCTGCTGGCTGCCCCTGCAGGACTGGCTGGGCCCCAGCCCTTCCATGTACCTGTACCTCCCAGAGCATCACCCTCTTGTCCCAGCCACCTGATGCCAGCTGCCTTGAGTCAGGACTGAAGCTGACTGTCTCCACGCTCCGTTGGTGACCTGCAGGCACCAGCCCAGGGTTGGGGAGGAAAGGGGGTGGACTAGGACATGAGGTCCAAAAGAGAACTCAGGTCTGGCTGCTTGACTCCCAGTCCTACCCCGCCCACTCACCCTTCAGGACCTGCAGACACTTGGCTCTTGCCACATCCCACAGGCGGATGGTGCAGTCACAGGATGTGCTGGCAAAGAGGCGGCCATCAGGGGAGAAGCGGCAGAACTTCACGGGGCCTGGGGCAGCAGCCATGGTCAAGGAACAGGACACTGCCCTCGACCCCCTGCTCCTGGTGTCTAACCCCTGCTAACTTCTCCAGCCTCTTCACCTAAATCCCCTCACCTACTCCCACCTTTCCCAATACCTGGACTTCCATGTCTTTGCCTATGCTGAGCCCTCAGCCTGGAACACTCAACTCCAGCTTACCCTTCTGGAGAGGTTCATGGCTTCCTTTGAGGTCCCCTGGACTTTCCCCCATTATAGCATTAATCAGCCTGTCCTGTAACTGCCTGATTTTTTTTGGGGGGGAGGAGGGGGACTTCTTAATAATAATAGTTACATCTACTGGATCCTTACGGGGTGCCAGGCACTTTATTTGCATTATCTCATCTGATAGGGTAGCTACTACTATACCCATTCTAAAAAAAAAAAAAAATTGCCATCAAGTCAATTCCAACTCATAGCGACCCTATAGGACACAGTAGAACTGCCCCATGCAGTTTCCAAGGCTGTAAATCTTTATGGAAGCAGACTGCCACATCTTTCTCTCACAGAGCAGCTGGTGGGTTCAAACTGCCGATCTTTCGGTTAGCAGCTAAGTATTTAACCACTGTACTACCAGGGCTCCTTATTCCCATTCCATAGAGGAGGAAATAGAGGCTCAGAGGAGTTATTATGACTTGACCAATATCATATAATCAAAGAGGTGGTAGGTAGGATCTAAGCCCAGGTCTGTTAGACTTGGAAGCCCTAGGGACCAGGTTCTGTCTCCTTGTCCTCCTGCCCCAGCCCTGTCCAGGCTAACATGCAATGATGCCCCCTCAAACGGCAGAGGTCATTGTGGTGGGCTCTGCAGAATGCCAGAACAGACCCATGCGCCTTGGTCGCCCCATTCAGGCTGCAGGAGTCCCACCTGTGTGGCCACCCAGCTTCCACAACAGCCGCCCGCTTTGGGTCTCCCAGCCGTACACACAGCCATCATCTGAGGCTGTAAGCAGCGTCTGGCCGTTGGGGGAGAAGGCAGAGGAGTTGACCTGGAAGCAGAGAATGAAAGTAGTCCAGCCTTGGGGCAGGAAACATCTATCTACTCATCCCTGATCCCCGACTCCTAAACACTGCCCCAGGAGCCTAAGGTTGGAGCTTGGCCTCAGTCTAGAACCAGAGCCCAGAACCCAAGGCCCTCTCTGCAGCTAGAGACCAAAGCCTGGAGCCCTTTCTAGAACCAGAGTCGAGAACTCAAGAGTCCTTTGTGAAACCATAACGTAAGCCTATTCTGGAGCTGAAGCCCAGACCCAGGGGTGTAGAGTCTACTTTGAGCCTTTTCAGTTAACAAAGTCTACTCTAGACTCAAGGTCCAGAGCTGGAGCCCCTACTACACAGAATCAGCAACCACTCACACCCAGACCCAAAGCCAGGAACCTAAATTCTGGGCAGAACCGGGCTGGGCCTCACCTCCCCGCGGTGCCTGCCGAAGTATTTCACTCTCCCCACGGCCAGCTTCCCCGGGGCCCCGCTGTTCATGGGCCCCGGGCCGTCCAGCCCCAGCGGGCTCGCTCCGAGGTGGCTCCTAGGGCGGGAGGGGGGGCGGGGGCGAGTACTGTGTACAAGCGGTCTCTATAGTAATCGGGGCGGGGTGCGCAACCTCGATGGGGTCTATGGGAAGCCATTAGAAACGAGAGCCAGCGAGAGACAGCTCTCACGAGGGAGGTGGGACCGCGGCAGAGAGGCTGCAGGCGGCCCCAAAAAAGGACTTCCCATCCTGGCCCCTGCCAGCGCCCCGGCTGGCGGGACAAGGCGGTGGTCATGGCGGCCACTAGAGGGCGCGCCAGTCCCACACACCGCTCCCTCTCCTACGGCTGCTCAGAGCTGGTGCCTCGCGGCATCGAGTTTACAAAGAGCCAGGCAGGCCCCACTGAGGTAGGGCGAAAGTAAGCCCGTTTCCCCATCTGGACAGTGGAGAGAATCACCCTTGCCCCACGAGGCTCCAGGGTTGACCCCAGCATAGGGCCTGGCACATGGGAAGTGCCCATGAGGGCCTGCTCCGGGAACAAAGGCTCCTTTCCTCCAGGAGTGACCAGCCCCAACCAAAACTGAGGAGTTCCCACAAGAGGGCTGGGGACATAACCATCCCTGCCCTCCAGGCGTGGGGAGCAAGAGACAATGTGTGTGAAACGCAAAGCATTAAAAAGTGGAGTCACTATGTCTGATAAGGGTCTAGTATCCAGAATCTATAAAGAACTCCTACAACTCAACAACCAAAAGACAAACCACCCAATCAAAAAATGGACAAAGGACTTGAACAGATATTTCTCCAAAGAAGATATACAAATGTCCAACAAGCACATGAAAAGATGTTCAACGTCATTAGGGAGATTCAAATAAAAACCACAGTGAGATACCACTTCACATTCGGTAATATGGCTAGAATCAAGAAAATGGAAAATAAGTGTTGGGAACAATGTGGAGAAATTGGAACCCTCATCTGTTGCTGGTGGGAATGTAAAATGGTGCAGCCTCTGTGGAAATAGTTTGGCAGTTCCTCAGTAAGCTAAACATAGAATTACTATGTTATTGTTGTTGGATGCCGTCAATCCCGACTCATAGTGACCCTATGTGACATAGGGTTTTCTTGGTTATAATCTTTACGGAAGCAGATTGCCAGGTCTTTCTCCCTCAGAGCTGCTGCTGAGCACTTAACCATTGTGCCACCAGGGCTCCTTAGTATCACCATAAGACCCAGCAATTCCACTCCTACGTATATACTCAAAAGAATTGGAAACAGGTATTCAAAAACAAAAATGTGTACACAAATATTCATAGCAGCACTATTCACAACAGCCAAAAGGTACAAACAATCCAAATATCCATCACCTTTTGCAGCGATAAAAATGTTCTGGAACTAGATAGTGGTGATGGTTGCAAACACTGTGGATGTTCTAAATGTCACTAATGGTAAATGTTATATGGTAAGTGTTATGTGTATTTTGTCACACTTTTTTTAAAAGCTTTGAAAAAAAAAAGTAGGGTCACTATTGTTAACATTCCCGGCAGCACAAAATGTGCCCTCTGAGGACGTGGAGGCCTGGAAGGGGGCCCCGGGGAGATGCCAAGATCCTTGGATAGCTCAACCTGAAACCTGGAGAGAACAGGACTTGGTTTCAATGTGCGTTTTACAGATGAGGAAACTGAGGCCCCAAGAGGTGGAGGGACTTGCCCAAGGTCAATCATCTGGTAGGAGTGGAACTGAGGTTTTATCCCATGTCTGTCCGACTCAGGGGATCTATATTAGAACCACGTGCCTTGAACTCCAGGGGGCTCACAGCAGACAGGGAGGCCCCTGGCTCCTGGCAGGAGCCCTGGTGGCGCAGTGGTGGAAGTACTCAGCTGCTAACCAAAAGGTCGGCAGTTTGAACCCATCAGCCGCTCCTCGGGCTCCCCTAAAGTTTACAGCCTGGGAAATCCTACGGGGCAGTTCTGCTCTGTCCTATAGGGACGCTATCAGTCGGAATTGACTCGACAGCAAGCAACAACAACTGGCTCCTGGTACATCTGGGAAATTGAGGCCCAGAGGGGTAAGACTTTGCCCAGGCACCCAGGGCCTCCATAGCAGAGCTAGGGCTAGGGCCCAGTTCCTTCTCCACAGCTGGGCAGGGTGGGACAGAGACACACCCCCACCCCCACAACTCCCCACTGTTTAGCGGATTCCAGGCTGCTTCGGGGCAGGGGAGGGGCAGCTGGGCTTTGGGAATGCTAGGGTTCCCAGAGATGACTCACACCCCTCCCCCACAGACCTCTTTGCCAGAAATGCTTCTCACGAGAGCGAGAGCTCGCTCAAGAGATTGAGTTCGGTGGTGCTTCTGCTCTATTTTAGACCCCAGTTAGTCAGTGGAGAGGGTGATAATGGCGGCTTTGAGGTGGGCGCCACCCCCACCCCAGCTCCCAGAGGGCCCTGGCCACTGAGTTAGCTCCTCAGGGATGGTCTGAGCTGGGCTCCCCACGACACAGCTCCCCAGGCCCTCTTCTCCTCCCTCTGCCTAGGCTCCCCCAACTCCATGACACCTCTGGACATGTTCCCCAACTAGCTGGTTGCTTCTGCTGTACCTGGAAGCCCAGAGCCACCTAGCTCATCCCAGCCCATCACTCCCAGAACCCTCTGGATAAACCTCATCCACCAGGCCCTGTGGTCACTTAGAAAGCAGGAGTGGAGCTGGGATTAAAATCTATCGGCTTGACTCAGGAATCTGTGGTTGGAACCACCTGTCATGAATCTCAGGGGCTTCAGGGGCCAGAACACCATGCCCACCTCTCCTGCCTCATCTTGCCCCCACCCCCACCTTGCTCCCTCAGCTCAGCCACACTGTCCTTCTTTCCATCCCTCCATCTTCACTCCCACCCCGGGATACCTGGACTGTTCTTCCTCACACTCTTGGCCTGATTCTCACTCACCCTTCAGATCTAATGGAAACACACCTCCTCAGGGAGGCCTTCCCTTGCCCACTTACCAAGGCTCAGTTAGAGCCCTTGCCCCAGAGATGGGGTGTTGGAGCCACAGGGCCTGGGTTAAACCCTGTGTCTGCCAACACCAACTCTGTGACCTTGGGCACTCCAACTGATCACTCAGTGCCTCAGTTTCCTCATCTATAAAATGGGGTACTCACAGTGGTTGCCTCATGGAGTCATTGTGAAGAGTTGATGAGATGATACACATCAACGGCACCTGAGAAGGTGCTCAGGGACAGGAGCAGCTGCTGTTGTCCTGGGGCTTTGGCTCAGGGGAAGGGGGTATGGAAAGGAGGCTGTTAGTGACCCTAACTTTTTTTTTTCAAAGCTTTTTAAAAAAGTGTGACAAAATACACATAACACTTACCATATAACATATTACATTTAGACACAAAGCTCCCTGTGCCCTTTGCCAGGCTCACCCAGGGGGCCACAGCCCAGGGATGCCTCATGGCATAGAGAGGGCCTGGTGACCAGGGGCTGTCTAGCTTCATGCCCAGCAGAGCCTGGGAGTGTGGCCAGCCCTGGGTTTGTGCAGGGGCTGCACCTGCAGGGTTTGATCCATTTGTGGGGGCACAAGAGGGTTATAGTCATAGTGGCAGCAGAACAGTGTTTCTGGGGTACCCAGATCCCAACCTCTGCCACTGGGGTCCTTGGGGCATTTCCCACCCTTGGCTATTGCCTCCTTCTCCTTAGGGAGCCAGCCACGTTCTCTCCTCCCTCAGCCCAGGATGCCCAGGATGAATGCTGCCCTGGCTTTCCCCACCACCACCCCAACACCTGCAGGTGCCACAATGCTGGGACCAGCCTCAGGCTTCTCTTTTCCTCAAAGCGCCTGCTTTCCCAGGAGGCTCCTTGGTTTCCTCTGAACCTGCTGTGGGTACACAACCTACCACACTTAGAAGAGAAAACCGGAGTTTCAGAGAGGGAAGTGACCTGCATGAGGTCACACAGCAAGTAAGTAATGGAGCTGAGATTCAAACCCACGCCAAGGACCGAGCCCCCAGCTCATTGCTTGCACCAGACTCCCTCTTTTAATATGGATCGAATGAGCAACTGAAAGGTTGGGGAATGAGCTCCCACCCCTGCCCCCCACACCGCTGTGAATGGAACCTCACTGCCCCATAAGCCAAAAAACCAAATGCGTTGTGGTCGAGTCGATTCTGACTCATAGCAACGCTATAGGACAGAGTAGAACTGCCCCATAGCGTTTCCAAGGAGCGGCTGGTGGATTCGAACTGCCGACTTTTTGGTTAGCAGCTGAGCTCTTAACCACTGTGCCACCAGGGCTCCTCACTGGCCCATAGGATAGTCTATTCCATCAAGGAACAACTCTCACTCTTGAGAAGTTCTCTTGAGTCAGGATCTGCCTTACATTACCTAATAGTTGAAAATGGGCACACCCTACATCCTTGCAATTCCACTCACAGTGACGCCTACAAGCTTGTGTCCACCAGCACTATAGTTCTGAAGACTGGAAACAACCCAAATAGTCAAAGACGGTAGAGATAAATGATTGAATAGTTAAACAATGGAGCACTACCTGGCCACAAAAATTAACAAGCTACATCTGTGCACATCCACATGGCAACCATCTCACAAACGTGTATGCTAAGCAAAAAAGCAACACTGCAGAAGGTGCTATAGGCACGATAAAAACACACTGCTCTCAAGTCAGTTCTGACTCATAGCTACCCCACAGGCTTTCCAAGGCTATAAATCTTTACAGTAGCAGACTGCTACATCTTTCTCCCACAGAGTGGCTGGTAGGTTAGAACCACCGACCTTTCAGTTAGCAGTCGATCGCTTTAACCGTAGGCATGATACCCCATGTAAAAATCAAGACATGTAAAAGGAAACTCCATTTCTTAGGTATACGTAAACATTCACGGGGCCTTAAAAAGTACTTACTCCTGGTGATATTCTGGCTCTTAGGTGGGGTGGTGGGCACCCAGGTGTTTGTTCGCTTATTCTTTAATCATCGGCCCTAACTGTTGGGGCCCTGCCCACCTCACCTGTCT